GAGGCAAAAGTGAACAGAAATGGCACTCTGCACACCAAACAACACATGTTACTCGCCTACACCGATGACATCGACATAATGTGTGGAACACTGAGAGCGGTAAAAGCCACCTTTGCACAAATCAGAAGGTGTCTGCCAAAGTGGGTCTGGCAGTAAATTGCAGGAAGACATACCTGATGGTATCAACGCGCAAGACGTCCAGTAGACACAGACCAACTGTGGAACTACAGCTTCGAGGTAGTGAAATATTTTATATACCTTGGTACCGCCATAAAAAAATGAATGACATCAGTTTTCAAATTCGGAGAAGGATTGTGATGGTCAACATATGGTACTACGGTCTAAGTAAGCAGTTTAGAAACAAGGCTACCTCCCGCCAGACCAAACTCACGCTTTACAAGACGCTGATACTACCCGTGCAGATGAGGCAGCTCTTGAGGTGTTTGAAAGAAAAATTCTCCGAAAGATCTAAACCACGAGTTTTAAAATTCATACGCGGACATCGACATAGTCAGTCGTTGGCTAGGCCATGTTCTGCGAATGAATGAGAATACCCCAGCTCAAAAGGCATATAAAAGCGAGCCTACTGATGGTTCCCGTAAAAGGGGAAGGCCACGAAACATATGGAAAGACCATGTAGAAAACAACATCTTGGAACGTGGTCTTTCAAATTGGAGGAGATGCGCACAAGACCGACGCGCTTGGAAATCTTTTTTAAGCTCGGCTAATGGAACAACCGTTCTGTAACAAGCCAGCAAAGTAAGTAAGTTGCACAACCTATTATCTTTACCAAGCCTAGATCAAGTCCGAAGTTGGGACCAGTCTACCATCTCCTCTGGTATCTCCCCCAAAAAGGGTCAACATTATGTAACCTTTTAAATTTTTTTGAATATCCGAACTGATCAACATTAAATCTGAAAAGTCTTTGATAAAAACATATTTGTTATATAAAAGAAATAATAGATCATGTCTATAACTCTGAAGTGAGGGTATATATCTGGCCGACTGACACTTTTTTTACTTATTCATATATTATTTATACGTGTGGATTGTTTATTTTTTTAATTTGTTTCCTTTTTTTCCAAATCTAAAATAACTCAGCATTTTTATTTATTTTTTTTTATTGAAAAAATTTTTATTATTCATAAAATATTCTCTTTTTTATAGATAAATATATATATAATATTTTTAGTATTATTTTATTTTAAGATAATGTAGTTAATTTGTTTATCTTATAAATATTTGTTTTCTGTTTTTATTTCATTTAACTTATTGTCTTAATAATATACAAATAGATATATCTTAATTAAAATATGAGAACACCATTTTATTTTAAATTTAAATATATTTTTCAAATTATTTTTTTAAACATTTTTTCCAAATATATTTAGAGTTCTTCAGTTTTGTTTGTTGTTATTTTTTTTTGGTAACAATAAATAAATCATTAAAACTAAACAACATTCAACTACAACAAAAAAAAATGGATTTTGCAAAAATTCCTTTGTGGCCGTGGTTACAGAATGCGACACTGGGTGACATAGGTTTTTTGGAAATTCATTTAATTGGGAGTATTTTTAATGACCATTTATAAAGACTTAGCCAAAAGTTCCGAAGCAAGCGGTGGATGCAGGAACACCAATTGTGACATATCTGACCCCGAAGGAGGCGATAAAACAAATAGAAAGGAGGGTAAAGCACATGTGAAATGAAGAGTTTCAGACAGATTTATTGACTAAAAGGCAGATTCGTTTTCCAATTTTCCGTGGTATGCAAAATCAATTTGAACCCGGAGGACACAAAATTAATTAACAGGCCCATGACAGGACATTCGTATTGCAAAGTCGATCTACATCGTATAGTTGCCAGTGATTCCTGGCAATGCGATTTATGCGGAGCACTTTATTTTTATTTGCCCAAGATATAATCAATTATATTGTATTGCAAAGTCGATCTACATCGTATAGGTGCCAGTGATTCCTGGCAATGCGATTTATGCGGAGCACTGTATTTCTATTTGCCCAAGATATAATCAATTAAGATCCGCTTATCCGACCCTTTTCTCCCAACACTATAACCTTATGACAATCCTAAAATCCACTGAGGAAGAGCTATTCAAGGAATTGATTCGCTTCATCAAAAAGGCGAAAAAATCATCTGTGATCCTGATCCCTATCCCATTTTAACCTGTGATATCTGAACCCCGAAGGAGGCGATAAAACAAATAGAAAGAAGAGTAAAGGACATGTGGAATGATGAGTTTCAGACAGTTTCCTTGACTAAAGGCCGATTCATTTTCCAATTCTGTACCGATGTGTACAGTAAACCGTGGTATGCAAAATAAATTTGAGCCCGGAGGACACAAAATTAATTAACAGGCTCATGACAGGACATTCGTATTGCAATGTCGATCTACATCGTATAGGTGCCAGTGATTCCTGGCAGTGCGATTTATGCAGTGTTCCTGAAGACGTGGTGCACTGTATTTGTATTTGCCCAAGATATAATCAATTAAGATCTGCTTATCCCACCCTTTTTTCGCAACACTATAATCTTATGACAATCCTGAAATCCACTGAGGAAGAGCTTTTCAAGAAATTAATTCGCTTCATCAAAGAGGCGAAAATTCATGTGTGATCCTGATCCCTATTCCATTTCATAGATAGATTAATCACTGACGTTTTTTTGCTATTTATTACCTATCTTCGGAAGCCTCGAAAGAGCCTAGAGGTCTTGGAGAACCAACTTTGTGTGACCTGAAAGCAGTATTGATTCTGGAAATTCTTTGACTGCGGTTTGCAATTTTCGTCACTTCATACACCTTATGCACTTGGACATCACACAACCGGGAGGTTGATTGCTCTGTTTCAAGTTTTTCTATTATTAAAGTACTGTATACTATCGTTCTTATTTGTATTTTTATCAGCTGTTAGTTGCAGGGTTCGTTGTGAATCTACAGTTGGACTGTGGACTACTAGTACATAGTTTATGCGAGAAGTCAGATGTACCTGGTGTACGATCGTTTTTGGATTATAAATTTTTGGAAGATCGCCAATTCCTGCGGCCTTAAGGACCTGAGGGCCGCCTTCAAACACACACACACAAAAGTTCCGAGAAACGTTCCGCCTTTATTTTAAAATCGTTTATGACAACATATCGCATATATTGATCAATTTCGACCTTATAAGCGATTTCGACTGTTGTGAAAATTAGAAAATCAGGATATAAAGTCACCTACAGTGGTCTGCATAATATTTGGACATCCAGGAGAAAATTGGTTAAAATACCGAATATTCAGGGTACCGTTCATTTATCTTAATAAATAAAATAGAGAAATAATATTCGAGGGAAATCGAATAAAAAATACATTGGATCAGCAAAGCAGAATATAGATATATTGCAGATGTTTTCAGATCTCAAGTTCCAATAAAGCCTTTCGATCTATTCCATTTTCAGTACCGAACATCCTTGGAGTAGTGGCCTCAAGTGTAGAGCAGCTCTGGAAGAACTTAACTATAGCTATCGGGTGTGTTGGGTACCAGGACATTGTGACATCTTGGGTAATGAAAGAGCGGACGAACTAGCTAGACGAGCATCTCAATCCACCGATCTAGAAAATGATGACTCAATCAAACCACCCATATGTCATTTTTATCGGAACTTTTAGGCATTCTTTGACGAAAGAGCCTGTGAACTTTGGCACAACGAACCTAAGTGCAACGTGTCAAGATCCATTTGGCCGACTCTGTCTACCAAAAGAACGCACTCACTGTTGAACCTGAGCAAAGCTGAAACATCAGGGCTTTTACTAGTAAATGGGATCTTGATGCAATTGATTACTGTAGACTCTGTATTGACGAGGAGGAGACGGAGACAATTGAGCATCTCCTGTGTCATTGCCCAGCCCTGGCTTACAGTAGGGATAAGTAAATCGACTTTCGACTAATCGATTAATCGACTTTTTGTATTGAAAAGTCTAAAAGTCGAAGTCGACTTTTGATCTATGAGAAAATCGTAAAGTCGACTTTTCAAGATCGACTTTCGATTTTCTTCATAAATACTTGTTTTTTTTATCACAAAGCTCGAATTGTCCAAAAATTGCACTTTCCGGAAGTTTACTTTTTCTGTTCACAATAATTCATATAAAAAATCAATTTTTTAATCGATTTTGCAGGAGTCATTAAAAGTCGAAAATCGATTTTGAACAGTTTCGACAAAATCGAAAGATCGAAAAGTCGACTTTTTAGTCAAAGACAAAAATCGAAAAGTCTAAAAATCGACTTTTTGATCAGAGGCAAAAATCGAAAAGTATAAAAGTCGACTTTGGCGCTCGACTACGTATCCCTAGCTTACAGGCGGCACAGACTATTGGGTGCTCATTTTCTACCGAGTCTCAGCTTCTTCTCAACAACCGCACCTGATCTAATCTACAGCATAATTTGAAACATAAAGTGGTTAGCAACAAACAACCTTGACACGTAACACATTTTCTGTCTGATTCATAGAGCCATCGACCCTCATTCCTCTTTCATTTATTTGTGTAAGATTCCCAACTCTCCTTTAATTCCCTAATCTTGTCTCCCCTACAGATCTGTCTTTGTCTCTTCTCTTCACTGTATCTCTTCTTGTGGATGATCACAACGGATCACAGAGTGCTGCAGCCACATAAGTGACTGCACATCCCCAAACCTAACCTAGAGTAGTGGCAATGGTAGTCTTAAATATTACCAAAAATCAATTCAAATCCTAACAATTTTCCCCGCGGGTTTTCAAAGTCCCAAAAAAAAATATTTCATGTCACCCAGTGTTAGTTTACCGAACCCCATTTTACCTAATTGAACTATAAGGCAGTACTACAAAAATAAAGTTTTTTCTCTTCCTTCTTCGTGCGATCGATTGCTTTGCAAAAAACGAAGCTGTTTGTTTGCAAATGGACTGTTGATTGTTGTTGTTTCTGTTATTCTGGTAGTTGTTGTTATTGGCTTACATTACTACTACTACTATTATTCCTCCCCCTCCTGGGGCAACGGATCGAAATCTTCACGACTTGCTATATGAATTATCGATAGTATTATGAAAAATGTTATAAATAAATAAATGGTACGATAATCGAGAAATATTTCGATCACGAAGAGAAACGATCAGCCGAACAGATTCGAATAGAGATTATTGAGACCGCTGGTAATGGAGGAGAAGATACTGGAATCACCGCCACCATAGCCGGGTGTGGGTGGACGATAGAGGTGTGGTGGTGGGCCGGGTATGGGTCGATATAGCGGTGAAATGGGTGATAATGAACCGCCCTCGGTGCGCTGCAAAAAACAGGAAAAATAATTTCATTAATAAAACGCTTTTAAAAAGGATGCTTAACATTTAAATGATAAAGTAAAAAACAACACATAGAGAGAAACACACACACGCACACACATAGAGAGAGAGAGAGAAACAACATTTATATGCGAGACACCCTGTTTGTTATGTTAAGCGGTGACACAGCTGGTTTGGTGCTTAGGAAAGCAAAGGCAATGCTTGGTGGTATTGACAGCCTAGAAGTATGCTATGATTTTGTGTTTTTTTTTGGTAAACTAATTAAAGGGCGAGTATAACACTCAGAGAAATAAAACAGATGATTTGTTTTTAATGAAAGGAAATTTAGTGCAGATTTTTAGTTTTTTTTTTATGAAATATTTAATAAAAAAAGCTCTAATGAAAGCTAACAAACACATAGTACACATTAATAATATAGATATGTCTGTACTTACTAATACAAAGTAAACTCATTTGATATATTTTTTTGTGGTTGTGTTGAAAATTCGATTTTGTTGCAGGGGTTGAGGGAGGAATAATAATAATAGGAATAGAAAAATTTGTATTGTTAGTTTACCAATCATTAGTCATGTTTCAACAGGCAGCAGCAGTAAGCTTTGTTTTAGTATTTCTTTTTTTGTGTTTTGCAAAAATAATAGAAAAACAACTAAAGAGCATGGATCTACAAAATTTCAAAAAAAAAAAAAAAATTGTTTGAAAGCCATTAAGCCTTTTTAATGATACTTCTTTTATATATTGATGATTTTTTTGGAAACTAAATAATATTATTTCTTTTTTCAACAATTCCTTGCCAGTGAAATACAACGCAACTCTAATCGGTTGGGAAACGAATTTTATCATTCACATTTTTGCGATTATTCCTGATTTGTGTTCGGGTTGCGGTTTTTTGCGTAGTGGTGGTGGTGGAGGTGGCTGTTGTAAGAATTGTGGGCATGTTAAACTGCTTGGGGTTTTTTGTTTGTATAATAAAAAATATTGAAAAAAATTGTAGGAAAAAAAATATGTTAGGAATATAGGTATATTCAATATAAAAAATTGTTAAGTATGAAAAATAATATTAAAAAATACTACTTTATTTTAAGTGCAAGCATGCTGTGTTTTCATTTAAAATTTTCTTAAGGGGAAAAATGTTTATTTAAAAAAATAAATAAAATAGAGAAATGATTTTCGATGGAAATCGAAAAACAAGTACATTCGATTAGCAAAGGAGAATATACATATTGCAAAAGTACTCAAAAAGGCTCTTCGAAAATTAAAAAAAAAATCAATTCAATAATATCCAGTAAGGAAAGTAGTAAAGTCGCAAAGGGGCCGACTATATGATACCCTTCATCACTTTGGGTATATTCAACAGATGAATCCTAACGACTACCAAAATGAAATTGGATCCATAAACATGTCATTCTGCAACCGATATAGAAGGTATATCTAGATTCATTCATTCATTGCGCTGTGCAAAATCGTGCAAATCGAATGATATATAGGGACTTTGGTGCACCATTTACCTTAAATCGGACGAAAATATATGGGAGCTATATCTAAATCTGAACCGATTTTCAGGAAACTTAACACACATAATTGTAGACCTAATTCTGTAATCGTGCAAAGCGAAAGATATATAACGACTTTGGTGCACCATTTACATTAAATCGGACGAAAATATATATGGGAGCTATATCTGAATTTTAACCGATTTTCACACTTAACACACATCATTCAACTCTTAATTCAGTACGCTGTGCAAAATTTCGTGCAAATCGAAAGATAAATAGCGAATTTGGTGCACCATTTGTCTTAGATCGGACGAAAATATATATGGAAGCTATATCTAATTCTGAACCGACTTCCACGAAACTTAGCATATATCACTCTAGACTGAATTAAGTATGCTGTGCCAAATTTCGTGCAAATCGAATAATATATAGGGACTTTGGCGCACCATTTACCTTAAATCGGACGAAACTATATATGGGAGCTATATCTAAATCTGACCCGATTTTCTTGGCACACATCATTCTGGAATAAATTCTGTACTCTATGCCAAATTTCGTGCAAATCGAATGATATATAGGGACTTTGTTGCACCATTTACCTTAAATCGGACGAAAATGTATATGGGAGATATATCTAAAGTTAACCAATACTGACAATTATTGGTAGGAATTTTTACTACCCAATTTGAATTCAAAACACTAAATTATAGACAAATTGATTGGAGAAAATGAAAAAAAAATTCGAATAAAGGGGAGTAGAGTTATATGAGGGCTATGCTAAAAGGCAATTTCCTACCCGATGTGAACTCAAAGTTCCAAATTACTGTCAATTTGGTTAAAAAAAGTGTCCATAATCCCCAAAATACCTATATTTGGGAATTATCATTATATGGGGGCTATTGTAAAATTTTAAACAATATTGCGAGCTCTATTGTGATTTCAACAGACGGACGAATATTACTAAGTCGACTTCGAATTCGGTTAAAGAATTTATATGGTGTCTCAGGTAAATATTTCCATGTGTTACAAATCTAATCTGCTATATCTCCCCTTCTTTCATCAGGACCACAGGTATTATAACCTGCTTTATTGAACCTAAAATTGATATTAGTAAAATTTGAAAAGTTATCGATGCCCATTGTGCGGAATCGAAAAATGATACAGCAATATTAATATTTCATAAAAATCTATTTTGGAAATGTTTTAAATTGATTTATTTTAAGGGATGAAAATTCAATGACCCATTGTGGGAAATCTAAAAATGTTACACCAATATGAAATCCAACTTTTGAAAGCCCAATGAAACACTAGGAAAGCCCAATGAAACTCTAGGAAAGCCCAATGAAACTTAACACACTCTATCCTAGTCTTAATTCCATATGTTATGTCAAATTTCGCTTCAATCGGACAACAATTTGGGAGTTTGGTGCACCATTTACATAAAATCGGACGAAAATATATATGGGAGCTTTATGTAAATCTAAACCGATTTCAACAAAACTTCACTGACATCAAAATGGACCTAATTCCGTGCGCTGTGTAAAATTCTGTGTCATTCTGCTTTATTTTGGGGCTTTGGTGCATCATTTACTTAAAATCGGACGAAAATATATATGGGAGCTATATGTAAATTTAAACCGATTTTCTCTAATTAGGGTTCGTCCTTGGGTCAAACAAATGAGCTGTGCCAAATTTCATCCAAATCGGATCATAAATGTAAGCAGTACTTTGCTCACAATAATACATGGACGGACGGATAGACCCGCATAAATCGCATTAGAATGTGATTCCATGCATATTCTGAAAAGGAACCATGTGTCTACCTCGTTTCCTTTTGTCTGTTACAAGCATATGCAATAAGGGCATAATAACCTGTACCACAGTGTTGGTGACATTTTGAATAGATCCTCCTCATAAATCTTACCAGTGGCTCCGCAGCTATATAGTAGAGTTGGGTAAATTTGTTCATGAAGCGGCTCAGTCTTTGTTTGGTACGTTCCGCAAATTGGATGAATTATTCATTTAGTTCCATAGTTCATTTTATTGAAATCGTTCAAGATTCATATGAACAATTGTATCAAACAGAATTAGACGAATGAAAATACTGGACCTAATACTGATTATTCCTTTTGTGAAATAGTTCCTCCAGGCACGAGCAAACTCTAAAATAAAAGTTTTTTAAGAAGTCTGGAGGAAATTTACAATTTGTACCTATTTATATCATCCACTAAAAGGCGAAGTGTATATTAAATTTGTCACCTCGAAATATTTATCGGAGACCCCATCTATTCCCGATTAGATTAAATTCGTCCGTCTGTTGAAATCACGATACAACTAAAATAGTAGTTCCAATCTTTTACATATTAAAATATTAAGTTAGTACAGTTTCATCATTGATATTTCCTACCGGCTAGATAAAATGTCTGTTTCAGAATCTACAGGAATGTACAATTTTTTATTTCGATAACTATTTTTCTTTATGAAATCGAAAAAAATAGTCAAAAAGGGTAGATTATGGCAGTACGGAAACAGACTCATAGTAAACTAATATCTTAAAATGATAATACTAGAGGGTAACCTGACCTGACGATGTCAGGTTACCCTAGGGCATTCGACGTTATTCGCCACAAACGTAAATATTATTCATCGATTTGGTTTAGTTCCCTAAGAGATATAGATTTGACATATTTGGGTAATACGTCCGTACGCAATATTTTACAATAGTAGGGAAGTTGAATATTTTAGTACACCTCGTCGAAATATAGGTAACGTTGTAACCCTTTTGAACTGATCGAATGTACTTCTTATGCAAAATAATTGAAATCGTTTAATATAAATGAAAAACCAAACCTGATCTTACCTTAGATGGTGACAGCGTGACATTCAGCAATGTTGGATGTTGTTCGACAACGACAAATTCAATTTCTCGTGGAGAATAGCCCTCAGCAAATACCTGAAAAGGAAATAGATTAATTAAACAGGTATATCAAATTAAAAATAAAAAAACAATTCCGACTTACCTCCAATTTATAATAACCCGGCAGCAATATTCTCCAGAACTCACCATGTTTGGTTGTTTGGAAACCAACATCGCGTCCCTTAATTTTTAGGGATGCCCTTTCAATGGGATTGTTATTGTTGTCGAAGACAAAACCTTGGACACCGCGATGGGCCTCGGCAAGGAATTTGATCATGGACTGAGAGATAGATCAAAATTTGTATTATTATTATTTGAAATTCGGTTTCGAGTTGAGTTTGTTCCCACTCACCAATTGATTATCTTCCCAATATTTACGCAATTCATAGGCTGGTGGATATTTACAGCAGGAGATTTCCAATGTCACTTCCATACATCCATACCAAACATATTGATAATCCTGCATGCCACCAGTCAAAGGGTACCAGGCAGCACCATTAGTAATGCCATTCTCAAAGGCCGGGGTGGCAGATTTGCAGGCCACACCGCGTGACATTTTGGCATGATTTTTAGCATAGACCAAAGATAAATGCTTGAACACATCATCGTCAGGGGTGAGTGAGGGTGCCGCTGAATATGTTTGAAACACTGCGCCCAAAGGACATGTTGTTGGGAAGGGGGGAGGAGGAAGGTAATGCGAAAAAGGGTTAGTTTTACTGATCGACATTTGTATATATTTTTTGTAATATTTTTTTTTCGGAACTTCTACATTGGGAGTTTTTTTTTTTTTGTACAAAAATAGGGATCTACTCACTCGCGCATAAGGCCGATGATCTACAGATTCCTTTTAGTCGCCATATTGGTTTTTAAATGAAAAAATTGTAATAGCACTTTATATACAACTGATTCGACTACAATAATGTCCATGATTTTTTTGTGAAAGGGTGAGCGAGAGGGTGAGAGAGAGAGAGTGAAATTGCAAACACGGCAATGAGATGAAGCGATTGATGACAATGAAATGGTATAAAAGACGTGGATTAAAAAAATAATCCAGGACCCAGACTAGGTCCGGATTATTTAAAGAATATACCTCAGGCCTGGATTTGTAAAGAATAGTTTTTCAAGAGCTATCTTAGGCGTAGATTTTTTAAAGGGCTACCTTAGGCGTGGATTTTTTAAAGAATATTTTTTCCAGGGGCTACCTTAGGCGTGGATTTTTTAAAGAATATTTTTTCCAGGGGCTACCTTAGGCGTGGATTTTTTAAAGAATATTTTTTCCAGGGGATACCTTAGGCGTGGATTTTTTAAAGAATATTTTTTCCAGGGGCTACCTTAGGCGTGGATTTTTTAAAGAATATTTTTCCAGGGGCTACCTTCGGCGTGGATTTTTTAAAGAATATTTTTTCCAGGGGCTACCTTAGGCGTGGATTTTTTAAAGAATATTTTTTCCAGGGGCTACCTTAGGCGTGGATTTATTAAAGAATATTTTTTCCAGGGGCTACCTTAGGCGTGGATTTTTTAAAGAATATTTTTTCCAGGGGCTACCTTAGGCGTGGATTTTTTAAAGAATATTTTTTCCAGGGGCTACCTTAGGCGTGGATTTTTTAAAGAATATTTTTTCCAGGGGCTACCTTAGGCGTGGATTTTTTAAAGAATATTTTTTCCAGGGGCTACCTTAGGCGTGGATTTTTTAAAGAATATTTTTTCCAGGGGCTACCTTAGGCGTGGATTTTTTAAAGAATATTTTTTCCAGGGGCTACCTTAGGCGTGGATTTTTTAAAGAATATTTTTTCCAGGGGCTACCTTAGGCGTGGATTTTTTAAAGAATATTTTTTCCAGGGGCTACCTTAGGCGTGGATTTTTTAAAGAATATTTTTTCCAGGGGCTACCCTAGGCGTGGATTTTTTAAAGAATATTTTTTCCAGGGGCTACCTTAGGCGTGGATTTTTTAAAGAATATTTTTTCCAGGGGCTACCTTAGGCGTGGATTTTTTAAAGAATATTTTTTCCAGGGGCTACCTTAGGCGAGGATCTATTAAAGCATCATTTTTCCAGGGGCTACCTTAGGCGTGGATCTATTGAAGAATCTTTTTTCCAGGGGCTACATTAGGCGTGGATCTATTAAAGAATATTTTATCAAGGGCTACCTTAGGCGTGGATTTGTTTATGAATGTGAATGTTTTTAGCGACGATTTCAATGAATGAAATATATATTTTACGGAATGATTCGGAAACTAACTAAACTTTTAACTTAAAACAAAACCAACTCAATAACTAAAGAGGACCTCAAGAGTATTCCCTATTTATACTTACTAGCATTTGGTGTATTATCATAGGGATAACTGGCCACCAGGGCCCCGCCATGTAAACTGCCACTCAAAACGAATTGTATTTTCGAGATCCAATCCTTAACAGCATCCGTTTCCGGTTGGCCACGTTTATTGTTCTGCTTAAAGTAGTCGGGGAAATTGCGATTCAAATCAAAGCCACGGGCATTGTATCTAAAAGAAATATTACGAATTTTAATACCAAAACAATTTTCAAAATATTTCTGTAAGACTCACCTGCCCTGACCGCCATCACAGGTACCCTCCTTGGAGACGGCAAAGCCATCGGGATTCATTGAAGGCATTATATGGATGCGAGTATTATCCAGCAGCCATTTAACATATTGATCAGTATCATAGCTGGACACCAAATATTGGATCAAATGCAATAGTAACTCCCGACCCACAGGTTCATTGCCATGAATATTGCCAACATATTTGACATCTGGTTTACCGATCATGTGTTCATAGGGTGAGGAGGAGACCACCAACACCCATAACTCTCGACCCTGTATAGACTTACCAATCGAATACAAGGCAGTTAGATTAGGATAGCGAGCACTAGTTGCTCTGCCGAAAAGAGAGAGATAGAGAGGGGAGAATTATATTATTTTCTGAAATTGAGGTTATGTCTGCTTTGGGTGTTACCTTAAAAATCTTGTTAACTCTTCATGATTGTGATAGACAAAGTCTAGATATTGGGAATCGGGTACATAAGCTCTGGGTTCTGGCAGTGCTGCTTCTAAATCTAAATTATTGGTTGGTTGTTCAGGTAATTGTGTTTGGGCCCATGTACACCTGTAACAGGTATAGACGAGTATCAGGTATGATATGATTGTCCATCGTTTAGACATGTTGATTTAATTTTTATTCTGGAATTGCCAGTGCAGGACAGAAACGGCAGATTGGAGCTGCAAGAAAACAGGGATACATTGAGGTTAGTTTGAATTGTTACGAGTGAGACATAGAGACCGTTTTTCAAGGCCTGGATTTTTTAAAGTATATTTTTTCAAGTCCTACCCAAGGCCTGGATTTTTTAAAGACCAGTTTTTCAAGTCCTACCCAAGGCGTGGATTTTTTAAAGACTAGTTTTTCAAGTCCTACCCAAGGCGTGGATTTTTTAAAGACTAGTTTTTCAAGTCCTATCTAAGGCGTGGATTTTTTAAAGACTAGTTTTTCAAGTCCTACCCAAGGCGGGGATTTTTTAAAGACTAGTTTTTCAAGTCCTACACAAGGCGTGGATTTTTTAAAGACTAGTTTTTCAAGCCCTACCTAAGGGTTGGATTTTTTAAAGACTAGTTTTTCAAGTCCTACCCAAGGCGTGGATTTTTTAAAGACTAGTTTTTCAAGTCCTACCCAAGGCGTGGATTTTTTAAAGACTAGTTTTTCAAGGCGTGGATTTTTTAAAGACTAGTTTTTCAAGGCGTGGATTTTTTAAAGACTAGTTTTTCAAGGCGTGGATTTTTTAAAGACTAGTTTTTCAAGGCGTGGATTTTTTAAAGACTAGTTTTTCAAGGCGTGGATTTTTTAAAGACTAGTTTTTCAAGGCGTGGATTTTTTAAAGACTAGTTTTTCAAGGCGTGGATTTTTTAAAGACTAGTTTTTCAAGGCGTGGATTTTTTAAAGACTAGTTTTTCAAGGCGTGGATTTTTTAAAGACTAGTTTTTCAAGGCGTGGATTTTTTAAAGACTAGTTTTTCAAGGCGTGGATTTTTTAAAGACTAGTTTTTCAAGGCGTGGATTTTTTAAAGACTAGTTTTTCAAGGCGTGGATTTTTTAAAGACTAGTTTTTCAAGGCGTGGATTTTTTAAAGACTAGTTTTTCAAGGCGTGGAGTTTTTAAAGACTAGTTTTTCAAGGCGTGGATTTTTTAAAGACCAGTTTTTCAAGGCGTGGATTTTTTAAAGACTAGTTTTTCAAGGCGTGGATTTTTTAAAGACTAGTTTTTCAAGGCGTGGATTTTTTAAAGACCAGTTTTTCAAGGCGTGGAGTTTTTAAAGACTAGTTTTTCAAGGCGGGGAGTTTTTAAAGACTAGTTTTTCAAGGCGTGGATATTTTAAAGACTAGTTTTTCAAGGCGTGGATATTTTAAAGACTAGTTTTTCAAGGCGTAAATTTTTTAAAGACTAGTTTTTCAAGGCGTAAATTTTTTAAAGACTAGTTTTTCAAGGCGTGGATTTTTTAAAGACTAGTTTTTCAAGTCCTACCCAAGGCCTGGATTTTTTAAAGACTATTTTTTCAAGTCCAACCCAAGACGTAGATTTTTTAAAGACTAGTTTTTCAAGTCCTACCCAAGGCCTGGATTTTTTAAAGACTAGTTTTTCAAGTCCCACCCAAGGCCTGGATTTTTTAAAGACTATTTTTTCAAGTCCAACCCAAGACGTAGATTTTTTAAAGACTAGTTTTTCAAGTCCTACCCAAGGCCTGGATTTTTTAAAGACTAGTTTTTCAAGGCGTGGATTTTTTAAAGACTAGTTTTTCAAGGCGTGGATTTTTTAAAGACTAGTTTTTCAAGGCGTGGAGTTTTTAAAGACTAGTTTTTCAAGGCGTGGATTTTTTAAAGACTAGTTTTTCAAGGCGTGGAGTTTTTAAAGACTAGTTTTTCAAGGCGTGGATTTTTTAAAGACCAGTTTTTCAAGGCGTGGATTTTTTAAAGACTAGTTTTTCAAGGCGTGGATTTTTTAAAGACTAGTTTTTCAAGGCGTGGAGTTTTTAAAGACTAGTTTTTCAAGGCGTGGATATTTTAAAGACTAGTTTTTCAAGGCGTGGATATTTTAAAGACTAGTTTTTCAAGGCGTAAATTTTTTAAAGACTAGTTTTTCAAGGCGTGGATTTTTTAAAGACTAGTTTTTCAAGTCCAACCCAAGACGTAGATTTTTTAAAGACTAGTTTTTCAAGTCCTACCCAAGGCCTGGATTTTTTAAAGACTAGTTTTTCAAGGCGTGGATTTTTTAAAGACTAGTTTTTCAAGGCGTGGATTTTTTAAAGACTAGTTTTTCAAGGCGTGGATTTTTTAAAGACTAGTTTTTCAAGGCGTGGATTTTTTAAAGACTAGTTTTTCAAGGCGTGGAGTTTTTAAAGACCAGTTTTTCAAGGCGTGGAGTTTTTAAAGACTAGTTTTTCAAGGCGTGGAGTTTTTAAAGACTAGTTTTTCAAGGCGTAAATTTTTTAAAGACTAGTTTTTCAAGGCGTAAATTTTTTAAAGACTAGTTTTTCAAGGCGTGGATTTTTTAAAGACTAGTTTTTCAAGTCCTACCCAAGGCCTGGATTTTTTAAAGACTAGTTTTTCAAGTCCTACCCAAGGCCTGGATTTTTTAAAGACTATTTTTTCAAGTCCAACCCAAGACGTAGATTTTTTAAAGACTAGTTTTTCAAGTCCTACCCAAGGCCTGGATTTTTTAAAGACTATTTTTTCAAGTCCAACCCAAGACGTAGATTTTTTAAAGACTAGTTTTTCAAGTCCTACCCAAGGCCTGGATTTTTTAAAGACTATTTTTTCAAGTCCAACCCAAGACGTAGATTTTTTAAAGACTAGTTTTTCCTACCCAAGGCGTGGATTTTCCAAAAGACTAGTTTTTCAAGGCCTATCCAAGGCGTGGACTTTTCAAAAGACTAGTTTTTCAAGTCCTACCCAAGGCGTGGATTTTTTAAAGCCTAGTTTTTCCTACCCAAGGCGTGTATTTTTCAAAAGACTAGTTTTTCAAGTCCTACCCAAGGCGTGGATTTTTTAAAGACTAGTTTTTCAAGGCCTATCCAATGCGTGGATTTTTTAAAGACTAGTTTTTTAAGGCCTATCTAAGGCGTGGATTTTTTAAAGACTAGTTTTTTAAGGCGTGGATTTTTTAAAGACTAGTTTTTTAAGGCGTGGATTTTTTAAAGACTAGTTTTTTAAGGCGTGGATTTTTTAAAGACTAGTTTTTCAAGGCCTATCCAAGGCGTGGATTTTTTTAAGACTAGTTTTTTAAGGCCTATCCAAGGCGTGGATTTTTTAAAGACTAGTTTTTTAAGGCCTACCCAAGGCGTGGATTTTTTAAATACTAGTTTTTTAAGGCCTACCCAAGGCGTGGATTTTTTAAAGACTCCATTTTCAAGGCCTATCCAAGGGTTGGATTTTTTAAAGACTCCATTTTCAAGGCCCATCCAAGGCTTGGATTTTTTAAAGACTCCATTTTCAAGGCCCATCCAAGGCTTGGATTTTTTAAAGACTCGATTTCCAAGGCCCATCCAAGGCGTGGATTTTTTAAAGACTCGATTTTCAAGGCCTATCCAAGGCGTGGATTTTTTAAAGACTCGATTTTCAAGGCCTATCCAAGGCGTGGATTTTGTTAAGACTACTTTTTCAAGGCCTATCCAAGGCGTGGATTTTGTTAAGACTACTTTTTCAAGGCCTATCCAAGGCGTGGATTTTGTTAAGACTACTTTTTCAAGGCCTATCCAAGGCGTGGATTTTGTTAAGACTAGTTTTTCAAGGCCTATCCAAGGCGTGGATTTTTTAAAGACTAGTTTTTCAAGGGCTATCCAAGGCGTGTATTTTTTAAAGACTTGTTTTTTCAAGTCCTACCCAAGGCGTGGATTTTTTAAAGAAAAAAAATACAACTCTTGTTTGTTTTCAAAAGGGTTTTGTAATTTTATTTTGTTGCTGTTGCGTTTTCTTATATTTCCTTATACCACCCATCTGTCAGTACATTGACGTGTTCACCGATAATTACATGGCATATCTCAGTTTGTTCGACACCACCATCTCCACTCGTTGAGGCAATGCATTGAAAGGCAAATCTGCGATACGTGTTTGAAATTAATTTACTTCAATCAAAATAAAAAAAAAACAGAATTAAGAAGTGAAGTAATAAAAATGGAAGTCAGGGCAATGATCTGAAGAAGCAAATATGAAAGAAAAAATTGTGCATAGATGATGGAGTGCAACATATTGTTTATAAAATAAAGCAGTGGCGCCCAACGAATACCAATATATGTGGCATGGAAGTTTATCAGAAAAATTATTGACTGGCGCCCAACTGATACATGGAGGGAGATGAGAAAATATTAGGAACCAACGAATACAAAACACTGTTTAATGTCTTCAATATATACAACAGTGGCGCCCAACTGATACCCGCTACATACAAAACAGAAGTCTAAAATAATAAAAATGGGCGTGTGGCGTCCAACACATACAAGGAGTTTCAATGATCTTGAGGCGATATGATAAGGTTTCACGTTACGGCCATCTAGCTAGTTAATTCCCGTTTTTGGAAGACATAAGCCCCTGCATGAAAAATTTATTGTGAATTCCCGGAATAAAATTCGTACTTCGTACCCATATTTCAAAATGCTTTCCTAGAAGATAAAAAATATCTAGAAGAAATAATGCATACGTACAACAACAATTATTTTATTTTGTTAAATTAAATATTTTCTCCCCGATTTGAACTATTAATTTATAGAATAATGAAAAATGTTGCCATTATCTTGTGGTCTGAACAGAACAAAAATCGGGTACAGTGAGGTATTGAAGATGGTGACGGGACTGAAGTGTAGGGAGTTTTCTAAAGACGAGTTGAATGGAAGATGGTAATCAAGAGCTGAAGGCCTGGTAGATGATCTGAAGGTCGCGAGGTAGCCATTGAAAAACTGTCCCTTAAAAAATCTACGCCTAGGTTAACCATTGAAAAACTGTCCCTTAAAAAATCTACGCCTAGGTTAACCATTGAAAAACTGTCCCTTAAAAAATCTACGCCTAGGTTAACCATTGAAAAACTGTCCCTTAAAAAATCTACGCCTAGGTTAACCATTGAAAAACTGTCCCTTAAAAAATCTACGCCTAGGTTAACCATTGAAAAACTGTCCCTTAAAAAATCTACGCCTAGGTTAACCATTGAAAAACTGTCCCTTAAAAAATCTACGCCTAGGTTAACCATTGAAAAACTGTCCCTTAAAAAATCTACGCCTAGGTTAACCATTGAAAAACTGTCCCTTAAAAAATCTACGCCTAGGTTAACCATTGAAAAACTGTCCTTTAAAAAATCTACGCCTAGGTTAACCATTGAAAAACTGTCCCTTAAAAAATCTACGCCTAGGTTAACCATTGAAAAACTGTCCCTTAAAAAATCTACGCCTAGGTTAACCATTGAAAAACTGTCCCTTAAAAAATCTACGCCTAGGTTAACCATTGAAAAACTGTCCCTTAAAAAATCTACGCCTAGGTTAACCATTGAAAAACTGTCCCTTAAAAAATCTACGCCTAGGTTAACCATTGAAAAACTGTCCCTTAAAAAATCTACGCCTAGTTTAACCATTGAAAAACTGTCCCTTAAAAAATCTACGCCTAGGTTAACCATTGAAAAACTGTCCCTTAAAAAATCTACGCCTAGGTTAACCATTGAAAAACTGTTCCTTAAAAAATCCACGCCTAGGGTAGCCATTGAAAAACTTTTCCTTAAAAAATCCACGCCTAGGGTAGCCATTGAAAACCTGTTCCTTAAAAAATCCGCGCCTAGGGTAGCCATTGAAAAACTGTTCTTTAAAAAATCCAAGCCTAGGGTAGCCATTGAAAAACTGTTTTTTAAAAAATCCACGCCTAGGGTAGCCATTGAAAACCTGTCCTTTAAAAAATCCACGCCTAGGGTAGCCATTGAAAACCTGTCCTTTAAAAAATCCACGCCTTGGATAGACCTGGAAAAATGTTCACGCTTCGTGGGACCTCCTGAAAAATACACCTATTGTTTACTCTCCACCTTTTAGACCCACTGTAAAAAATCTATTCGCAATATTAACTTCAGTATCTTCAGGCAGCAGGCCTAAGATAAGACAACAATGACAACTCCGAACAGAGTGTTCCACCAGATAAGACTCCAACATAGACAATTTCTAATCATTGATTAGACCACCTAGAGAGGTTCCAAATTATTTTATCTCTAACCTATATAAGAAGTATGCAATTTCCCATGGAGCACATCAGTTCAAGTTGAAATATGAAACAAATAACTCTTCTGGCCACAATCGGCATATTTGCCATTGTTATTGGTGGTGCCTGGGCGGCACCTCAAGCTCGCATTGCTGGTGGTGATGATGCTGTGCCCGGTCAAATACCCTATCAGGCAGCTTTGTCAATTGCCGGTCTATACACTTGTGGAGCGGTGATTTTGAGTGAACGCTATGCCCTCACCTCGTTGTATTGTGTGTGTTCGGCTGGCAGTGATAGACCGTAAGTTGGATGTAGAACATGCCCAAATCCAAACCATTTTAAAATAAAAATCATTTTTTCTCTCCCCCCTCCAGTTGGCCACCACAAATGTTCAGTTTCACCGCTGGCACCACCGATCTGTATTCCGGTGGTGTACGCATCGTTGTCGAGGAGATCACGGTTAATCCCAATTATCATGATCTCTCAACTGGTATTGCCCTGCTAAAACTCACCCAGCCTTTGGTCTTCTCTGACTACATTCAACCAATTGAATTGGCTCAGACGAATCCACCTCTAAACGCTGATGTTGAAATTTCCGGTTGGGGTCGCACCAAAGAGGGCCAGACGGATATGTATCGTTATTTGCAGATCAATGGTGCTACCGTCGTCGATAGCATGGAGTGTACCCGAGTATTGGGTCGTTCAGATCCCGATATCCTCTGCATGAGTCATCCACGTAAAAATGGCATCTGCATGGGTGATTTTGGTGGTCCCGCCGTATATAATGGAAAAGTTGTGGGCATTGCTTCCGTCGTAATGGGTGAATGTGGTAGCCTGTTGCCGGATATTTTCACCAGTGTTGCGGAGCATTATGAATGGATTCAAAAGACTATGGAATTGTAATTTTTGTATATGGAAAATAAAAAAAAATAACTGAAGAGTAAATAATGATAGAAGCTCAATGGAACCTCTGTAGGTGAACTAAAGTGAGCCTCTAGTTGAAAAACTAGTCTTTAAAAACTGCACGCCTTGGATAGGCCTCGAAAAAATAATCTTTAAAAACTGCACGCCTTGGATAGGCCTTGAAAAACTAGTCTTTAAAAACTGCACGCCTTGGATAGGCCTTGAAAAACTAGTCTTTAAAAAATCCACGCCTTGGATAGGCCTTGAAAGTCGAACCATTAAAAAATCCACTCCTTGGATAGGCCTTGAAAATCGAGTCTTTAAAAAATCCACGCCTTGGATATGCCTTGAAAATCGATTCTTTAAAAAAACCACGCCTTGGATAGGCCTTGAAAATCGAGTCTTTAAAAAATCCACGCCTTGAATAGGCCTTGTCTTTAAAAAATCCACGCCTTGGATAGGCCTTGAAAATCGAGTCTTTAAAAAATCCACACCTTGGATAGGCCTTGAAAATCGAGGTTTTAAAAAATCCACGCCTTGGATAGGCCTTGAAAATTGAACTTTTAAAAAATACACGATTTGGATAGACCTTGAAAATAGATTTTTTAAAAAATTCACGTTATGGATGGGTCTTGAAAATCTAGTCTTTAAAAAATCCACGCCTTGGATAGGCCTTGAAAAACTAGTCTTTAAAAACTGCACGGCTTAGATAGGCCTTGAAAAACTAGTCTTTAAAAACTGCACGCCTTGCATAGGCCTTGAAAAACTAGTCTTTAAAAACTACACGCCTTGGAGAGGCCTTGAAAAACTTGTCTTTAAAAAAATCTACTCTTCGGATAGGCCTTGAAAAACTAGTCTTTAAAATATCAACGCCTTGGAGAGGCCTTGAAAAACTAGTCTTTAAAAAAATCTACTCTTCGGATAGGCCTTGAAAAACTAGTCTTTAAAAAGTTCACGCCTTAGATAGGCCTTGAAAAACTAGTCTTTAAAAAATCCACGCTTTGGGTAGGACTTGAAAAACTACTCTTAAAAAAATCACGCCTTGGATAGGCCTTGAAAATCGAGTCTTTAAAAAATCCACGCCTTGGATAGGCCTTGAAAATCGAGTCTTTAAAAAATCCACGCCTTGGATAGGCCTTGAAAAACTAGTCTTTAAAAAATCCACGCCTTGGGTAGGACTTGAAAAACTACTCTTAAAAAAAATTACGCCTTGGGTAGGACTTGAAAATCGAGTCTTTTAAAAAATCCACGCCTTGGATAGGCCTTGAAAAACTAGTCTTTAAAAAATCCACGCCTTGGATAGGCCTTGAAAAACTAGTCTTTAAAAAATCCAGGCCTTGGGTAGGACTTGAAAAACTAGTCTTTAAAAAATCCAGGCCTTGGGTAGGACTTGAAAAACTAGTCTTTAAAAAATCCAGGCCTTGGGTAGGACTTGAAAAACATTAAAAAATCCAGGCCTTGGATAGGCCTTGAAAAACTAGTGTTTAAAAAATCCACGCCATGGATAGGCCTTGAAAAACTAGTCTTTAAAAAATCCACGCCTTGGATAGGCCTTGAAAAGCTAGTCTTTAAAAAATCCACGCCTTGGATGGGCCTTGAAAATCAAGTTTTTAAAAAATCCACGCTTTGGATAGGCCTTGAAAAGCTAGTCTTTAAAAAATCCACGCCTTGGATGGGCCTTGAAAATCGAGTTTTTAAAAAATCCACGCCTTGGACAGGCCTGGAAAATCGAGTATTTAAAAAATCCACGCCTTGGCTAGGCCTTGAAAACATTTTGTTTTTTAAATGAATCCTCGACCTAAACTTTTTTTTAAATTTCAATAAAATCCCCAATTTAAAAAAGTAATTACTTGATTTATTTCGATTCTTAGGCTGTCATATTTTCCAAAATCCATTGCTTGTGATGCGCAACCTTGGCATAACCATCAGGATTGCTGCTACCGCAACCATCGACAACGAAACCGGCAACACCGACCAATTTACCATTGTAGGTAGCTGGACCACCGGAATCACCATTGCAGGCACCATTATTGGCGGGATGGGCCAAACAGATCAAGCTGTCATAACCCATACCAATGGCTGAGCCGCATTCATCAGTGGTCAAGGCCTTGACGGTGTTCCATTGCAAACGTTGGGGAATTGGGCCATTGGTATACAAACGACCCCAACCGGAAATAATGACTTCTGAGCCAGTGGGTACCTCTTCATCGGCCATTTCGATGGGTTTAATGTTGTCGGTCCATTTCAAGGGGGTTTCCAATTCCAAGAGGGCAACATCGTTGAGGAAATTGCCATAGGTCTTGTTGACAATGATGCGCTTGATTTTGCGCAATTCACCGCCGACCATGCGTTGAATGCTGCCGCAGCGAACTTGGAAATATTGAGGAGGCAAACTAGGGGAGAAGTGGCGATTTTTTTAAATGGAATTTTTATCTAAATTTTGAAAGCACTTACGGTTCAACACCATTACCGGCCACAACACAATGAGCAGCCGTCAAAATGTATTTGTCACTGATAATGGAACCACCACAGGTGTGGGAACCATCTTCGCGTTGCAGCGATACCTGATGAGGGAACTGGCCAACCTCAGCATCGACACCACCCACAATGCGACCATCAGGATTTGGCAAGGCGCTAACAGCGGCCACTGCCAACAACAGACCCACAACAACGAACCGCAACATAACTTCAGGAATGTACCGAAATAACTGAATGGCTATTTCCGAACCTCAGATGTTTTTATATGTATGTATTTTGTACGAGTTCGGAAAGGGGGCGGGCAAAATCATTCCTTTTGGATCTATGTTAGATTGATATATGGGCAGACTTTTCGCAGCAAAAATAAATAATCTTATCTCGTATGTGAGAGAGAATTATTTTGAAATTGAAAACTGATTTAATGATGACAGCGAAAAAAATGAAATCAGCAGAAGATAATTTATTGTCCAGATTATGTTCTGTTCTTACGGCCATTGCGCACATGAGAGAAGTGTGGCCTCAACACGAAATTTCATTCATTACATATCATTCTTATCGTCTACTCGAAACCGTAGTCCAGAAATTCGCAAATTAATAAAAAAAAAGGAAAAAAAAATCATTATATCGGCCAGGATAGGCCTTGAAAATCGAGTCCTTAAAAAATCCACGCCTTAAATAGGCCTTGAAAATCGAGTCTTTAAAAAATCCACGCCTTGGGCAGGCCTTGAAAATCGAGTCTTTAAAAAATCCACGCCTTGGGCAGGCCTTGAAAATCGAGTCTTTAAAAAATCCACGCCTTGGATAGGCCTTGAAAAACTAGTCTTTAAAAAATCCACGCCTTGGATAGGCCTTGAAAATCGAGTCTTTAAAAAATCCACGCCTTGGATAGGCCTTGAAAATCGAGTCCTTAAAAAATCCACGCCTTGGATAGGCCTTGAAAATCGAGTCTTTAAAAAATCCACGCCTTGGATAGGCCTTGAAAATCGAGTCTTTAAAAAATCCACGCCTTGGATAGGCCTTGAAAATCGAGTCTTTAAAAAATCCACGCCTTGGATAGGCCTTGAAAATCGAGTCCTTAAAAAATCCACGCCTTAAATAGGCCTTGAAAATCGAGAGTCCTTAAAAAATCCACGCCTTAAATAGGCCTTGAAAATCGAGTCCTTAAAAAATACACGCCTTGGATAGGCCTTGAAAATCGAGTCTTTAAAAAATCCACGCCTTGGATAGGCCTTGAAAATCGAGTCTTTAAAAAATCCACGCCTTAAATAGGCCTTGAAAATCGAGTCCTTAAAAAATCCACGCCTTAAATAGGCCTTGAAAATCGAGTCCTTAAAAAATCCACGCCTTAAATAGGCCTTGAAAATCGAGTCCTTAAAAAATCCACGCCTTAAATAGGCCTTGAAAATCGAGTCCTTAAAAAATCCACGCCTTAAATAGGCCTTGAAAATCGAGTCCTTAAAAAATCCACGCCTTAAATAGGCCTTGAAAATCGAGTCCTTAAAAAATCCACGCCTTGGATAGGCCGTGAAAATCGAGTCCTTAAAAAATCCATGCCTTGGATAGGCCTTGAAAATCGAGTCCTTAAAAAATCCACGCCTTGGATAGGTATTGAAAATCGAGTCCTAAAAAAACCACGCCTTAAATAGGCCTTGAAAATCGAGTCCTTAAAAAATCCACGCCTTGGATAGGCCTTGAAAATCGAGTCCTTAAAAAATACACGCCTTGGGTAGGCCTTGAAAATTGAGTCTTTAAAAAATCCACGCCTTGGATAGGCCTTGAAAATCGAGTCTTTAAGAAATTCACGCCTTGGATAGGCCTTGAAAAACTAGTCTTTAAAAAATCCACGCATTGGATAGGCCTTGAAAATCGAGTCCTTAAAAAATACACGCCTTGGATAGGCCTTGAAAATTGAGTCTTTAAAAAATCCACGCCTGCGGTAGGCTTTGAAATCGAATCTTTAAAAAATCCACGGCTCGAGTCTTTAAAAAATCCACGCCTTGAGTTACCCTCAAGCGGTAACTTTTTGCATAACCTTGCCGTTGTCTTCCTGAAGGAATCTTTGGAATTCACCGAGAAGATCAACAAAATTGAGTTGGCCGCTGGCGATGAAGTTTACTTTGGACTCAAAACCAATGACGTCTTAGAGGTGAGAGCTTGTTAGGTATTTTTTTTTTTTTTTTTGGCGCTACCTAGATATTATTTATGACACTGCGGCGGCTATTGGAAAAGTTTATTTCAGAATAGTTTACAATTTGTCAATAGGGCAGATAATTTAATGCCCATAAAAAGATTAAGATAATAATTTTTTTATTTCGATTCTGGAGATTCCATGTTGAGGTATCTAATCGGAAATTGTGATGATGGTCGTAATGATTTCTTAACTATAATATGATAAAGATTTTGGGGAAACCAAGCGGTTGGGGCGTGGAGAAAATTTATGGGATCGGAAGAGGGAGAGAGATAACAGAAAGAGAGAACACTTTATTCATGATAGGCCTTAGGACATTTTTCGATAATAGAAAGACCTTTGAGAGAGGTATTTATTCTAAAAGCTATAAGATAGATCTGAGCATTTTCTATATGGAGGACCTTATAATTGACCCTAAAAATTCTGATTGATAGATCGAACTTTATTTTAGTTGCGATTTGGGAACCCCTGACATTTACGACTTTGCTCTTTACAGTAGTTAATTGTTTTCTTGTACCTCTATGTACCTCTCTTGGAAATGTTTGTGTACATTTTTTTAATATTCGACACAATTGTGTTATCGAATTTCGTGTTTATTTTTCAATCGCTTTGGCTGTGAAGTATTTGATTAGATCAAAGAATATATAGCCAATTTATGACCAATACGACGGAGCCATGATATGCCGCCGCCCAGCCAACCACCACTTCTTGGTCAAAATATAAATTAACGCCGAAATGGTTAGTATGATTTTTAACGTCATGGCTGGTAAACGTTTTATCTCCTGCGCATTGTTCGCCGTTCTCTTCGCTGTAGCTTCGGCTAGCCCCAGCTCCAGAATTTGGGGTGGCAGTGATGCGGCCACAAATCAACATCCTCATGTTGTGTCGGTTCGTGTCAAGGATGCTCATGTGTGTACCGGTAGCCTTATTGCCAATAATGCCGTTTTGACCGCAGCCAGCTGTGTAACCAAAGTTGCAACCGAACCGTAAGTTTGAACATCGGACAGGGGTGGAGATTTCCTTTTGTTTTTACGGTTTGCTTTTTGAAATTACAGCATTGACAGCAATGACTGCTCTGTGCGTGTTGGCAGCATTAACCAGTATGCTGGTGGTAAAATTGTCGGCTGCAACTCGATTGTCATCCATCCCTCAAGCGGTAACTTTTTGCACAACCTTGCCGTTGTCTTCCTGAAGGAATCTTTGGAATTCACCGAGAAGATCAACAAAATTGAGTTGGCCGCTGCCGATGAAGTTTACGAAGAAGGTACTCCCGTCACCGTTACCGGTTGGGGTCTTGACCAGTCCAATGCTTCGCCCTACAAATTGCAACAGGTCTCCATGTCCGTATTGAGTGCCGCGGAATGTGAATTGCAAGCCGGTTATGGCTACGATTCAATCGTCTGCTTGCAACACCCAGCTGGTACTGGTATCTGCCGTGGTGATGAAGGTGCCGGTGTTGTCAGTGGCAAGCAATTGATTTCCGTTGCCAGTTTTGCCTTTGGCGGCTGTGCTACCAAATATCCTGACATTAGCACAAAGGTTTCTGTCTACAGAGAATGGATTGATAGCCTTTTGGCTTAAAAACATTTTTTTTTAATTTTTTGGAAATAAATTAATAAAAAAAACAACAACTACAAAGAAAGTGTGTCATATATTTGTTGTGTTTTTGCGATAAGTGGCAAACCCGAACAATCGGGTTTATTATGAACTATTTGTTTTTTTATGGCAGCGGATCATAAAGATTATCAATATCAGTAGACGATTGGATTTTATTTAGTGGTCAACATATTTAGGGTCACAGAAATATTTTTATTGGAGTTAATTGTTATTAATGTTGGGTTTAATGGTTCGGTGCAGATCAAGTTTTTTCGAACACACAATTGAAAGGAGGTTTTTTCTACCCTTCACCACACTGTGGTACAGGGTATTATGTCTTTGTGCATATGTTTGTAACAGACAAAAGGAAACGAGACAGACACATGGTTCCTTTTGAGATATGCATAGAATCACCTTCTGAGTCGATTTATGCATGTCCGTCCGTCCGTCTCTCCATGTTAAATTGTAAACAAAGTACAGGTCGCATTTATGATCCGATTTGGATGAAATTTGGCAAAAGTCACTTATTTGGCCCAAGGACGAACCCTATTGAAATTCAAGAAAATCGGTTCAGATTTAGATATAGCTGCCATATATATTTTCGTCCGATTTAAGGTAATTGGTGCACCAAAGTCCCTATATATCTTTAGATTTGCACGAAATTTGGCATAGACTGGTGAATTAGTTCCAGAATGATGTGTGCCAAGTTTCGAGAAAATCTGTTCAGATTTAGATATAGCTCCCATATATAGTTTCGTCCGATTTAAGGTAAATGGTGTACCAAAGTCCCTATATATCTTTCGATTTGCACGAAATTTGTCATAGGGTACTGACTTGAGTCTAGAATGATGTATGTAAAATTTCTTGAAAATCGGTTAAGATTAAGATATAGCTCCCATATATAGTTTCGTCCGATTTAAGGTAAATGGTGTACCAAAGTCCCTATATATCTTTCGATTTACACGAAATTTGTCATAGGGTACTGACTTGAGTCTAGAATGATGTATGTAAAATTTCTTGAAAATCGGTTCAGATTAAGATATAGCTCCCATATATATTTTCGTCCGATTTAATGTAAATGGTGCACCAAAGTTCCTATATATGTTTCGATTTGCACGAAATTTTGCATAGCGTACTAAATTTAAACTATAATAATGTGTGCTGAGTTTCGTAAAAATCGGTTCAGATGTATATATAGCTCCCATATATACTTCCGTCCGATTTAAGGTAAATGGTGGGCCAAAGTACCTAAATATTTTTCTATTCACACGAAATTTGGTATAGCACACTAAATTTAGTCGAGAATGATGTGTGTTGAGTTTCGTGGAAATCGGTTCAGATTTAGATATAGCTCCCATACATATTTTCGTACGATTTAATGTAAATGGTGCACCAAAGTCCCTATATATCTTTCGATTTGCACGAATGATGTGTGTTACTTTTCCTGAAATCGGTTCAGATTAAGATATAGCTTCTATATCTGACCAAATGAAAAATTTAGGATCGGTTGTAGAATGACATGTTTATGGATCCAATTTCATTTTACTGGTCCTTTAAGAATGCGACGTCTGTTAGGATTCATCTGTTGAATATATAAGTGGTGAAGGGTATAATATAGTCGGTCCCGTCCGACTTTACTTCTTTCCTAACTGGTTTTTAAATGTGTTTTAATTTTTTAAAAATATATTTTCGAAGGCGTGGATTTTTGGAAAATATTTTCGATTTTTTTAAATATTTTTGCGAAGGCGTGGATTTTTTAAAAATTTTTTTCGAAGGCGTGGATTTTTTTTAAATATTTTTGCGAAGGCGTGGATTTTTTAAAAATATTTGTCGAAGACGTGGATTTTTTAAAAATGTTTTTTCGAAGGATTTTTTAAAAATATTTTTTCGAAGGCCTGGATTTTTTAAAAATATTTTTTTCGAAGGCCTGTATTTTTTAAAAATATTTTTCGAAGGCCTGGATTTTTTAAAAATATTTTTTCGAAGGCCTGGATTTTTTAAAAATATTTTTTCGAAGGCCTGGATTTTTTAAAAATATTTTTTCGAAGGCCTGGATTTTTTAAAAATATTTTTTCGAAGGCGTGGATGTTTTAAAAATATTTGTTCGAAGGCCTGGATTTTTTAAAAATATTTTTTTGAAGGCCTGGATTTTTTAAAAATATTTTTCGAAGGCGTGGATGTTTTAAAAATATTTGTTTGAAGGCCTGGATTTTTTAAAAATATTTTTTCGAAGGCCTGGATTTTTTAAAAATATTTTTTCGAAGGCCTGGATTTTTTAAAAATATTTTTTCGAAGGCGTGGATGTTTTAGAAATATTTGTTTGAAGGCCTGGATTTTTTAAAAATATTTTTTGAAGGCCTGGATTTTTTAAAAATATTTTTTCGAAGGCTTGGATTTTTTAAAAATATTTTTTCGAAGGCCTGGATTTTTTAAAAATATTTGTTTGAAGGCCTGGATTTTTTAAAAATATTTTTTTCGAAGGCCTGTATTTTTTAAAAATATTTTTTCGAAGGCCTGGATTTTTTAAAAATATTTTTTCGAAGGCCTGGATGTTTTAAAAATATTTGTTTGAAGGCCTGGATTTTTTAAAAATATTTTTTCGAAGGCGTGGATTTTTTAAAAATATTTTTTCGAAGGCGTGGATTTTTTAAAACTATTTTTTCGAAGGCGTGGATTTTTTAAAAATATTTTTTCGAAGGCGTGGATTTTTTAAAAATATCTTTTAAAAATCCACGCCTAAGGCTATGATGTTGCTCTATAAAAATTCTTTAAAAAAATCCACGTCTGAGGCTATGATGTTGCTCTATAAAAATCAGTAAAATTTGCCCTGGCCCTGACAAAAATTCTACCTTACCAATAAAATATCTGAGAACGATTATCATGTCAAATTTACAAACTTAAATAAAACGAAGTGTTATTTTTTTGCGGGACAAATTTCACACCTTGTAAAACAAAAGGTACAATTAATTAAATTTCATTCTCTCGAAACAACAAAAATAGAAATACGTCTCAAAAAAAGTTTGGAGAATAAACGATAAGATAACACCCAATGAATGCAGGCGGAAAAGAAATGAAAATAAATATACAACCCCAAAGAACGGCTATCAGTTCCGAATATAATCTTGAAGTCGTAATATAAAATATTGACTGCACGCTTATCAAACGACGTCCTCCACTTTAGCAGGGCAATAAATTAGCAAAATAGCCATTATTTATTGGGAGTAAATCGTTTTGAGCCGCAAATCGGAAGCAGTATTCAGTTGTCACATGAAAGCAATGGTATCCGCACGTTTGGCAATCGTTTTGATCGGTCTGTGGGCCTTGGCCAGCCCCGCCAGTGTTTTGGCCCAGCCAACATCTCGCATTTGGGGTGGTGAGGAAACCCAAAAATTAGATTTCCCCTATGTGGCCTCGGTTCGCTTGGATGGTGGTCACATCTGTGGTGGTTCGATTATTGGCCAGAAATTTATTTTGACAGCGGCCCACTGTGTTCATGAAAATAACAAGGTGTAAGTATGCACCCTAATTTTTTGATTGGAAAAATTTGTATTTAAAAATTATTCCCCTTCCCTCCTTACAGTGTCGCCCCCAAACGTTTGGCAGTGCGCGTTGGCAGTACCAATCAATTTTCGGGTGGCAAATTGGTTGATGTTGCCTCCGTTACCGTCAATCCCGACTACTCGGATGTTAAAAACAATTTGGCCATTTTAACTTTGGAAAATGCCTTGGAATGGACGGAACGCGTCCGCGCCATTACATTGCCCACAGCCAGCGACAGCTTGCCTGCTGATGGTACCAATTTATTGGTTGCCGGTTGGGGTCAACAATTGAATTCGGATTCAGCCTTCAAATTGAACTCGTACCGCTTCACCGTGGCCACTGAGGAGGTTTGCAAAAATGCCTACAGTGCGCTTGATAGTTCCGAATTCTGTTTGGCCCACCCCTTGAAGGAGGGTAGCTGCTACGGTGATGCCGGTAATGGTGCTGTCTACAACAATAAACTGTATGGTGTTAGCAATTTTGTTGTTGGTGCCTGTGGTTCCCGTTTCCCCGATGTATTCACTAATGTTGTCCACTATTTGTCATGGATTGAATCGGTTGTAGCTTAAGATGTGTTTGATTGTGTTTTTTAAAAATTTAATATTTAACAAATAATAAATTGAATATTAATTTTTTCAATGATTTTCGAATTATTCCGCATCGATTTCCTAATTTATTTTTTTGATAGGGGATTTTTTTTAAAGGTGAAGTGATTCACCGGTTTTTATTAGTTTTTATGACTTGTTGGTTTTTTATTTATCAATAATTTTTACTACTAGCTGGAACCAATAATTACAGGTAGATATGTAAGTGTGTGTGTGGTGGAGGAGAATATACAAATTCACTCAAAGAAACAATTTTTCAAATGGTAGATATTTGTTTCCCAGCTCTAAATGGAACTAAGTTGAAGCCGACCGATTCTTTGGCAAAGACATCAAAATCCGGAGATGACTAATCGGCATAGAATTTAATTCTGATCATATATATATATATACTCTATGTGGTCTCCTATACAACCCAAGATTTTTTCTGGCGCATAGTGTTAACCACATTCTCCTTGAGACGTAGTTACACAGTCGATCGAGAATTACTCCAATTTAGCTGAACACATATTGTTCTCTCATTTCACAGCATTTTACCTCCTTGTAATCAACAAGCTTCCAGTACGCTTCTTGACATATGTCTCCTTAGACAATCTTCAGATCAAATCGATGGGTGGTATAATATGAGAACGGAACCTTATACCTATACTCCACTATTTTTCTACTACATACCTACCTACTAATCGGAGAATTTATAAGCATGAATTAGAATAAACTGACGGTACAAAGTTTGTCCAAACCTATTCTGGTTTATCGAGAAAGCTGATAGATAAAATGAGTAGAGACACATGGAGTCTGTCCTGATTATCTCTGAGTGTCCAATACACGTATAGAATAATTCTCAACATCTCATCCAAAACATTACTGCTGATCCAAACTTATTTGCTTCTCGTGTAAAAGATCTACTAGCGCCCAAGTAATTACTGTCGAGCGTATTCTGATACACTTGTGTCTTTGATGACGATAAAAAGGTTACAAAATGCAATTCACCACATGTGGTTGATGTCTGCGCTGAAATCATAACAGCGTCATCAGGTGGTAATTATATGAACTAAGATGTAAAATGACGCCGTTTTGAAGCAACTTCCAAGTTCCACCTACTTATGTCCTATAACGTCAGATTGGGATAACTCTCATTAGAATGGGATAACTCTACTGACATAACTCTCCTGGGATAACTCTCCTGACAAACATATATGTTCCTCGTGTAAAAGATCTACTGGCTCCCAATGGGAATTTAAAACAACTGAACGTTTTAAAACCAGGGTGAATGTTTTGAAATTACGCCTTATTCTCTTAAATAGATTAGGATCCTGACAGACATAAACGAAATAATTGGAATAAATGATAAGATGATAATCGAGTTTTATGCCTTTTTAGGGCGTCCAATTTTAATTAAATTGGTTAAGTTCCGACAATGAAGACTTTGGCCAATGAACCTTCCACTCTGACATGCATGCTGATGCTGATGATGGGGGGAAATGTTACTCTATAAGGTATCATTTTAAGAATTACGATGGAAACATGTGAATATGCAGGTGTAGAGGACGGTCATTTGCCCTCTAGCATTGTGTTTTTGATAACGATAACAAGGTTGCATAATACAATTCACCACATATGGTTGGTGTCTGCCCGTTATGAAGCAACTGCCTACGTATGACCTATAACTCCTGGTGAGCGCTTATGTATGAATAATTACGAATACATAAACACGGTTCAATGGAGCGGCTTATTCTGTCAATCCTTATCCCGGCTGAAAGATTATATTTTCAAATTCGAAATTCCAAGAAAGGCTTGGAACCCAAGAGGGAGGTTTACAAGTAATATTGATAAGTAAAATTGTATCCGCATCGTTCTTGCCTGATATGGACATGACGAGCAGCGCTGTTTTTTACAGAAACCTTGTAATGATCGACAAATGAAGTTTTCGATAAAATAATTTTCGATTTGCAACTGTTGACATTCTGGATGGCTTCAATAGCTAGTCGAACTTATTATGTTGACTCGATATACTTTCAGGCTTATTGCCAGAATATAATTTGAATAGTTCTGGAGCGCGACAAATAGCGTCATTGCCCTCAAGGATTGTGTCTTTGATAAAGGTAACAAGGTTGCATAATGAAATTCACCACATATGGTTCGTGTCTGTACCAGCACCATCTGGTGGTAATTATATGAACTAAGCTGCTATATGACACCATTTTGAAGCAACTACCAAGTTCTACCTACGTATGTACTATAACTCCTGGAGAGCGCTTGAGTATGAATAATTACAAGACAGACCTGGATCTCAAGAGGGAGGTTTACAAGGAATATTTTAAATGTCATTCGCATCGTTCTTGCCCTGTCTTATATGGATATGATGACCAGCGTTGTTTTTTACAGAATCCTTGTAATGATCGGCAATGGGAGTTTCCGATAGTCGATTTATAAATGTTGAAATTCTGGATGTCTTTAGTAGCTAATCAAACCTATTATGTTGTCTCGAGATACTTTCAGGCTTCAGAAACAATATGGGTTGCTAATGATGAATTCAGAATATTGGGTAGCTACGTAACTCTAGACTTGTTTATCTTTTGCAACCAGGGCGAAGGATTTAAAAAAAATAATTTTGGATGAAAAATATATTCGAATCGTTGCCCAACATTAGCCTTACAATATTTACTCCGAACCTCTGACTGTACATTACTTTGACCTGTATGGGAGTTATGTCAAAGTAAATTCTCTAGTAGGCCGTATATGATCTGAGAAAATGAAATGCCAACTTCCATACACTCAGCTACATTTGGTGGGACCGTCAACATATTAAATAATGGACCTATATTGAAAAATTTATTTTAAGGCATTAAGAACTAGGAATTTTAAAATACCGATAATGCCAAGTCCTTTATACTTGGGCTGTGTTTCAACATAGACGAACATGGCGAAATCGACATAGAATTTTGTTCTGCTCAGGAATATATATATATATATATATATATATGGGGTCTCCACTGAGTGTTTCAAACGAAACGACCAATTGTTCTCAGTAAGTCCTTTAAAAGTATTATTTAAAAATCCGCGCTTACACCTCGGATGGCCCTTAGAATCTTATTTAAAAAATCATGGACGTGTAGCTCGAATGATCCTTAAAGCTTTATATAAAAATCCAGTACTTATAGCCTGGATGATCCTACAAAATATTATTAAAAAATCAAAGCGTATAGTTCGGATGGCCCTTAAAAAGTAAGATTTACAGTACGGATGACCCTGAAAAAATATTATTTTAAAATTCCACGTCTATAGCTCAGATGGCCCTTTGAATGCTTTCCATGAAATTTTTATAAATATGAACTTATTCGGAATTCCGTTATTTTTGGGAAATTCCTTCCATTTCCACCGAAGGTTATCTTAGGTGTTTTTAGCTAGAGGCCAAGTTCACTTTACTGTACAAGATAACAAATTTCCCCCCGTTTTGACATTTTGTTTGTATTGTTCCACTGTCATTTCGTACATTAGTTCTGCCTCGACGTAAAACCCATACTTCGAACGAGAATAGTAGCCTCGCCGATAATCTCCCTACAAAATATAAATTATCACCGAATGTCGATTAGATTTATTTATAATGTCGTAATAAATAAAAATCGCCACAAAATAAGTGATCGGTTACGCATCAAAAGCAATAAATAGAAGTGGACCTTGCAAACATTCCGATAGTTACTTCGGAGGAAGTTGGTGCTGTTGCGAAATGTCTGTATTAAATTATTTGCTAGTTTTGAGTGCTGTGTTGTGTGCCGCCTGTGCTACACCCATGGGTGGACGTGTTGTTGGCGGTCATGATGCTGTACCCAAACAATTCCCCTATCAAATCTCATTGCGTCGTGATCACAGCCACACCTGTGGTGGATCCATTATTGACAAAAAATGGATACTGACAGCTGCCCATTGTGTTGTCATCGAAGGCATTACACCGTAAGTAGTTTGGTAAGATGAGTGCGAATTTAGAAAATTATTTTGTCTATCTTTCTCCAGCTACCCCGCTGAACGTTTCACGGTACGTGCTGGTACCATTAATCGCATAGCTGGCGGTATAATTATCAATGTCAAGAAAGTCATTGTCCATCCTGGCTATGAAGTCTACAATGATTTGGCCCTTTTGGAATTGGAAGAAGAATTGGAGTATTCGGAGACCATACAACCCGTTGAATTGGCCGATGAAGAGGTGCCAGCCGGTGAGGAGGTCGTAATTTCCGGTTGGGGTTTGACGGAACATGCTGGTGCCAATTTACCTATTATTCTACAATGGTATACCGTCTCGGCTCTCAGTAAAACGGGCTGTGCTTCGAAAATTGGTTTATTCACTGATGCCTTGATCTGTTTGGCCCATCCCTCGGGTGCAGGTGCCTGTAATGGCGATTCTGGCGGCCCAGCTGTCTACGATGGCAAATTGGTTGGTGTTGCCGGTTTTGTGGTGATCAAGTGTGGTTCCACCCGCCCTGATGGTTATGCTAAGGTTGCCTACAATATTGAATGGATTAGAGAAAATATGGCCTAAGGCCAGATTTTTTCCTAAATAAATAAATAAAACCTAATCTGGGAATTTTTTCGAAGAAAGGGAGCAATGTCATAAACGTATTAGACATGTAAAAAACGTAAGAAATATAAAGAATACAAACAAATCACTTTGTGGTAACTTGGGATAGGTTGTATGGGTTTTATTTAGCGAACTTATGGGAAAATAGAGAATGTCGTAAACGTATGATACATGTATAAAACGTAAAAAATGCGTAAGAAGAATACAAATAACTTCGTACGAACTAAAGACGTTTTGTATATGACATTTTAAGAAAATTTCTGTAGAAATAGATAATGTCGTAAAGGTATGGAACATGTATACAACGTTTAAAATGCAGAAGTAGATTTCAAATATCTACGTACGAAGTAAAGACGTTTTGTATATGAAATTTAAAGTAAATTTCTTTAAAAATCGATAATGTCGTAAACGTATGATTCATGTATAAAACGTATAAAATGCAGACACAGTGCAAAAATCATTTCGTACAAACTTCGATTGAGCTTTATACGAATTTTCAAGTTGTATTACTGTAATATTAGAAAATGTCGTAAACGTATGATTCATGTATAAAAGGTAAAAATGCAGAAAAAACAATACAAATCTCTACGTACGAACTAAAGACGTTTTGTATATGACTTTTAAAGTAAATTTCTTTAAAAATAGATAATGTCGTAAACGTATGATACATGTATAAAACGTATAAAATGCAGACACAGTACAAAATTCATTACGTAGGAACATCAAATGAGCTTTATACGTATTTTCAAGTGTATTACTGTAAAATTAGAAAATGTCGTAAATGTATGATACATGTATAAAACGTATAAATTACGGAAAACATCGACAAATCACTTCGTTCGAATGTGGAATGGATTGTATAGGGCTATTTAAGTATATTGTAAAAACAGAACATGTCGTAAACGTATTATACATGTATAATACGTATAAAATGCAGAAACAGCCACACAATTCAGTTCGTATGAAAATGGAATAGTTTGATAGGAAATTTTCAGAAAATTAGTGTAAAGCCAAAGAATGTCGTAAACGTATGGTACATGTATAAAACGTATGAAATACAGAAAAAGCTCACAAATCACTTTGTACCAATTGGAAATATTAAATGATTTGTATGTGGAGTTGTATGTTTACTACTAAAAAAATGGAAGATGTCATAAACGTATTGCACATGTATAAAACGTTTAAAATACGGAAACCACATACGAATTACTTTGTACGAACTTAGAATAGTTTGTATGTGGTTCTTAGGTATACTACTGAAAATATACACAAAGTCGTAAACGTATTATACATGTAGAAAATGTATAATATGTCGAAAACGTAAACGTATTATACGTGTAATAAAAAGTTTAAAAATGTCGTAAATGTATTGTAAATTTATAAAACGTATAAAATAATCAACAAGAAGGTCTACTTGATCGAATTTTTGGCTCTTCTATAGAAAAGGGCGATCTTCAAAAATTCTTTTGAAGGCCTTCCGACAGAAGATCGGCATTTTATATAGAAATGCCCAAAAGGTCGGATTATTCTACTATAGAAGAGTCAGAAGATCGTCTTCTTTTCTGGGTGAACCAAAAGATTGACTTCTTCTGTGGAAGAGCCTGAAGGTCGGCTTCTTTTATGTAAGTCCCAGAAGGTTGGTTTCTTCTGTAGAAGAACCAAAAAAGTCTGATTCTTTTATGAAAGCAAGAATTATTTTTATAAGATTCAGAAGGTCTGTTTCTTTAGAGGAGCTTCAATCGGGCTTTTCTTCTAAGGAAGAACTGGAGATCGGAATCCTTTATAGAAAAGCTGCAGTTTGTTTTTTTTTCAATCGAATAACAGAATATCGATGTTAGATTCCTCTTCTATCGAAGATCCGAACTTATGGTTCTTCTATAGATTGGCTTTTTCAATCGAAGAAGAGAATATCGATGTTAGATTCCTCTTCTATCGAAGATCCGAACTTATGGTTCTTCTATAGATTGGCTTTTTCAATCGAAGAACAGAATATCGATGTTAGATTCCTCTTCTATCGAAGATCCGAACTTCTGGTTCTTCTATAGGACAGCAGCCTTTTTTGACTAGAAGAAGCCGATCTTTAGCAATTTTGTGGAAGGCCAACTCTCTCCGATTTTATATCAGAAACCGGCATTACGGAGAAAGAAGACCATATACTGGCTCTTTAAAAAAACCGACCTTCAGCTCTTCCATAGAAGAAACCAATCTTAAACTCTTCTATAGAAGAATCCGGCCTTTATTTCTTCTATGGGAAAAGCTGACCTTTTGGCTCTTGCATAGGCAAACTTATTTTTTGACATTTTGGTTGTTCACTGAAATAAGCCGATCTTTTGGCTCTTCTATAGAAGAAGCCGATTTTATTTCTATATACAGAAAGCCTCCGGACTTTTTTATAGAAGAATCCGATTATCTAGCGATTTTAAATTAGAAACCGGTATTCCAGTTTAACTATAGAAGAAGCCCATATTCCGACCCTTTTGTCGAAGATTTCGACCTTCAGATTTTTCATGATAAATGAACCAACTGCTTTTCTATAAAAAAATCAACATTTATTTCTTCTATGGAAAAACTGACCTTTTGGCTCTTGCATTGGAGACGTTCTTTTTGACATTTTGGCAGTTCCCCGAGAAGTCGAGCTTCAGGTTCTAGAAGCATTCGACCTTCTGGATTTTTTATAAAAGAAACCGATTTTCTGTCTCTTCTACGCGACCTTCAACTTGTCTATAGAATAAACTGAATTTTTCGCTCTTCAATAAGATAAGTTAACCTTGTGGTTCCTCTATAGAAAAAATCGCCATTCTGGCATTTCTACAGACTTTAAGAATTCTGCAGAGGAGCAGATCTAGTGAAGGAATCGGATGTTTTATAAAATAATCCGACTCGTTAGCTCTTTCATTTAAAAACACATTCTACACCCTCGACAGTGTAATGATTATGCTGATCTTTTAGCTCCTCAATAGAAGATCTATTGAAGAAACGGCATGCCTCATGCTCCATCAAAGAGTAGTATCCGACCTTTATTTTTGTTCTTCAAACTGCAATGTAGATATAGAGGACCTATAGAAGATCTTAAACCCCCTATTTTAGACTTTCAATCTATAGTTCTCCAGAAGGTCATAAAGGGTACCCCCTTTCGTCTACAGATAAATTTACTGTATATAGAAAGTCGTCTGCCTATAGGAGACCTTTAGGAGGTCTATTTGAAAAAGAAACCTATTTTAGTATTTCAATCTATAGAAGACCTCTAGAGGGTCTTCAATTTAAAAATGATTAAAAAAAGTCTCCCATTGATAGGGAACCCAGAAAATATATTTAATCTATAAAAAAAACCTCTAGAAATTCAGCTGAAGACCAATGGAAGGTATTCTACCTATCGAAGGTCTTAGATTTATATAAGGTTTAGTTCTCTTTGTGTAGTCCACGTTCCGACTGAAGACCAATGGAAGGTATTCTACCTATCGAAGGTCTTAGATTTATATAAGGTTTAGTTCTCTTTGTGTAGTCCACGTTCCGACTGTTTTTTTTTTCAGGGGTTATTTTAATTCGACCCACCCTAATATATTTCTCAATGGATTTTCCAATGTACGCAATAAAAACCACAACAAAAAATCCGCTCGTATTTTGCCCGAGTAAGATTTATGGTCAATACATCGGTCACAATGATTTACTTCGCAAGTGATTAAAGAGGGGAGGAAACTTGTGGCTAAATCAAAATCTTTAAATCTTGCCATAGATAAGGTTGCCACTTGATTACGACGATGGAGCTTCAAACTATATAAAACCTTCTGAAATTTCATAGCGAACTTTAGTTCGATTGTACCATATTTCCCTCAGGCAGCTATGAAGAGTGTGTGCACTTTGTTCGCTTTGGCCCTTTTGGGTATGGCAGCAGCCCAACCATCAGGTCGTATTGTTGGCGGTCTAGATGCCTATGAGGGTCAATTCCCACATCAAATTTCGTTGCGGCGTAGTGGTTCGCATACCTGTGGTGGTTCGATCATAAGTGCAAACTATATTCTAACCGCTGCCCATTGTGTCGTCTATGAAGATGAACAGGGTGCCTATCATGCGTAAGTGGTTCCGCAGTAGAATTTTAAGACATATGAAAAAAAAATTAATTTAATTATTATCTTTTTCAGTCTCGATGCTGCCTTGTACACCATCCGTGCTGGTTCCATTAATCGTTTGATGGGTGGTGTTGTCAAACAGGTTGTCGAAATCATTGTCCACGAAGATTATGGCAATTTCATCAATGATGTTGCCTTGCTGAAACTGGAAAGTCCCTTGATCTTCTCCGCCAACATTGCTCCTATCCCCTTGGCTTCCGTGGAAACTCCCGTTGGCAGTCCCATTGGCATTTCCGGTTGGGGTCGTTTGAAGACCGGCGGTGATATCCCCGTGAAATTGCAATACAACACCTTGGAATCCATCTCGAAATTGAAATGTCTCACATCGATCTTCATGTCGTCGGATGCTTTGATCTGTTTGGCCCATCCTGCCGGTAATGGTGCATGCAATGGTGATTCTGGTGGTCCCGCTACCTATAATGGTGAATTGGTTGGTGTTGCTGGTTTTGTTGTTGGTGGTTGTGGTACCTCGAATCCTGATGGTTATGCTAAGGTCTTCTATCATGTCGCCTGGATTAAGAAACATTCCGATTTGTAAATTGCGAGAATGTCACAACGGATTCTGATTAGATTAAATTGTTGTATTTTTTACGGTAGTAAACCATTTGTTTATGTTTAGAAATGGGGAAGTTTGTTGGGTTCTCGATAGAATTATCAACGAAGTGGGCGGTTCGGTTCGGTTCGGTGGAGAACGTGGTCATAATTTATTGGTCTGTGAAATATTTAAGTTTCACTGTACTGAGAACTTCTATAGAATATTCTCTCAAGGGTTGGCTTTATTATAAAAGAGCCGTAGCATAGCTAGAAGATCGGCTACTTCTATAAAAGGCAGAAGTTCGACATCGTCCATAGAAGAGCTAGAAGATCAGCCTTTTTTTTAGAAAAGCCAAAAGATCGGATTATCCTTCCATAAAAAGTCGGATTATTCTTCCATAGAAGTCAGAAGTACGGCACCTTTCTTCCTAGGAAGAGCCAGAAGGTCAACTTCTTCTATGAAAGTGCCTGAGGTCGGCTTCTTCTATGCAAGAGGCTGAAGGTCGGCTTCTTTTATGTAAGTCCCAGAAGGTTGGTTACTTCTGTAGAAAAACCAAAAGGTCTGATTTTTTTATGAAAGCACGAATTCTTCTATTCAGGATTCCGGAGGTTTGTTTTTTCTTCAGAGGAGCTTAAATCGGCTTTTTCTTCTATAGAAGAGCTGAAGATCGGAATATTTTATAGAAAATCTGAAGTTCGACGATTTCTATCGAAGAGCTGAATGTCGGTATTGGATTCCACTTCTATAGAAGAGCTGAAGGCCGGATAATTCTTCTATCGAAGAGCTGAAGGTCGGATTCTTCTATAGAATATGCTGAATGTCCGATCATTCTTCTATCGAAGAGAATAAGGTCTGAATCTTCTTCTATAGAAGATGCTGAGGGTCGGATTCTTCTTCTATCGAAGAACTGAAGATTGGATTCTTCTTCTATAGAAGTGCTGAAGGTCGGATAATTAGTCTATCGAAGAGCTGAAGGTTCGAAGAGCAGAAGGTCTGAATCTTCTTCTATAGAAGAGCTGAAGGTCGGATAATTAGTCTATCGAAGAGCTGAAGGTTGGATTCTTCTTCTATCGAAGAGCTGAAGGTGGGATTCTTCTATCGAAGAGCAGATCATATCGAAGAGCAGGAGGTCTGAATCTTCTTCTATAGAAGAGCTGAAGGTCGGATAATTAGTTTATCGATGAGCTGAAGGTTAGATTCTTCTTCTATAGATTCTTCTTCTATATCGAAGAGCAGAAGGTCGGATTCTTCTTCTATCGAAGAGCAGAAGGTCGGATTTTTCTTCTATTGAAGAGCTGAAAGTGGGATTCTTCTTCTATAGAAGAGCTGAAGGTCAGATTATTCTTCTATCAATGAACAGAAGGTCGGATTCTTCTTCTATAAAAGAGCTGAATTTCGGAATCTTCTTCCAATGAAGAGCTAAAGGTCGGGTTTTTCTTCCATAGAAGAACTGACTATCGGAGCTAAAGGTGGGATTCTTTTTCTACAAAAGAGCTGAAGGTCGGATTCTTACTCTATAAAAGAGCTGCAGCTCGGCTTCCTGAATGTCGGATTATTCTACTATAGAAGAGCTAAAGGTCGGATTCTTCTTCTATAAAAAAGCTAATGTCGGATACTAATTCTTTAGAAGAATCCGGCCTTCAGGGATTCTTCTTCTGTGGAAGAGCTGAATGACGCATTGTGATTCTATAGCAGAGATGATTGTCAGATTATATAGCTCTGCTATAAGAAGGTCGGATTCTCCTTCTATATAAGGATTCTTCTTTCAAAGAAGTGATTTTTATAAAAAGTCCCGACATGCAGGTCCGCTTATTCTATAGAAATGCCTAAGGTCGGCAATTTCTATAACCTCTTCTGAGAGCCGGAAGTTCAGTTTATGGTACCGAAAATCCTGAGGCCTGATTACTTTTATTGGTTTCTCACACATGTCGAAGTGCTGAAAATCCACAAATATAAAACCCAACAATTCCGAAACCATTGACCACTGTGCTTCGCCACGACAACGATAACGGTCATAAACAATATGTAGTCATGCGATAAGATATACCTATTGGAGGCTAAAAAGTAAATTCCTGAAAATTGGATGCTAATCTTTAACCCGAATCTATAAATATGGGCAATATTTTAAAATCGGTGGTAGTTAATGTCGTGATAAGCAGTCGAACGGAAACATGGGCAAAATTTCGTTGATAATTTTTGCATGTATTGTTGCCGCAGCAACGGCCACTCCAACCGGACGTGTGGTTGGTGGTCAAGATGCCTATGAGGGTCAATTTCCTCATCAGATTTCCTTGAGACGTAATGGCTCGCATACCTGTGGTGGTTCGATTATTTCGAAAAATTTCATTCTAACCGCTGCCCATTGTGTTGGCACCACCGATGCTCAGGGTGAATATTATACGTAAGTTGGAAATCATATATCAAGAAGTGTGGAATTAAAATAAAAATTAAAAAAATGTATTTTTTAGTTATCCTGCTTCAGTGTTCACTGTACGTGCCGGTAGCAATGACCGCTTCCAAGGTGGTGTGCTCGTGAGAGTGGCCGAAGTGATTACCCACGAAGATTATGGCAACTTCTTGAATGATGTTGCCCTGTTGCGTTTGGAGGAGCCTTTGATCTACTCAAAGAATATCCAACCCATTGCTTTGGCTACAGCCGAAGTACCACCAGGCGCTCCAGTCATAATTTCCGGTTTTGGTCGCATCAAGCATGGCGGTGATATCCCTCAGAAGTTGCAATGGAACACCTTGACTGCCATTACACGCAGTGAATGTAAACGTTTGATCAATTGGGATTCCGATGCCTTGATCTGCTTGGCTCATGAGGCCAACAATGGTGCCTGCAATGGTGATTCCGGTGGCCCAGCTGTGTATAACGGTGAAGTTGTGGGTATTGCCGGTTTCGTTTATGGCGGCTGTGGCAACATCTATCCTGATGGTTATGCTAAAGTTTATTATCATCGCGATTGGATTAAGGAACATTCCGATTTGTAAGTGGGAGAGGAAGAAATTGAGAGGTGTTTGTTTTTGCTGATGTTGTTGTTGTAATGATAATAAATGCCATTTAATAGATGACGTGTTTTATTATTGGGACGGGAAATGAATCTTCTGCTGGGATAGGAGAGTAATTTCAAGAAAAAAAATAGAACTCCAAATTGTTATATAGAAGAAACAGTTATACCGACATTCAGATCTTCTATAGCTTAAGAATAAGCCGACCTTCAGCTCTTCTATAGAAGAATTGAGCCGATCTTCGGCTCTTCTATCGAAAAAGCCGATCTTCAACTCTACTACAGACGAAAGCGACCTTCCGACCAACCTTCTGTTCCGCTATAGAAGAAGCCTACCTTCTGATTCTTCGATGGCAGAAGCCGATCTTTTGATTCTTCTAGCTGAAGTGCGGTTTCTGCCATTATATAGAAGAAACCGCACTTCAGCTTTTCTATAGAATAAGCCGCACTTCAGCTCTTCTGTAGAAGAAGTCACACTTAAGCTCTTCTATAGAATAAGCCGCACTTCAGCTCTTCTGTAGAAGAAGTCGCACTTAAGCTCTTCTATTGAAGAAGAGAGCCGATATTCAGCTCTTCTATAGAAGAAGTCGCACTTAAGCTCTTCTATTGAAGAAGAGAGCTGATATTCAGCTCTTCTATAGAAGAAGGGAGCCGATATTCAGCTCTTCTATAGAAGGGAGCCGATCTTGGGCCTTTGGAAAAATATTCTTTAAAAAATCCACGCCTCTGTTGGGCCTTTGGAAAAATATTCTTTAAAAAATCCACGCATCTGTTGGGCCTTTGGAAAAATATTCTTTAAAAAATCCACGCATCTGTTGGGCCTTTGGAAAAATATTCTTTAAAAAATCCACGCCTCTGTTGGGCCTTTGAAAAAATATTCTTTAAAAAATCCACGCCTCTGTTGGGCCTTTGGAAAAATATTCTTTAAAAAATCCACGCCTCTGTTGGGCCTTTGGAAAAAAAAAATCCACGCCTCTGTTGGGCCTTTGGAAAAATATTCTTTAAAAAATCCACGCCTCTGTTGGGCCTTTGGAAAAATATTCTTTAAAAAATCCACGCCTCTGTTGGGCCTTTGGAAAAATATTTTTTAAAAAATCCACGCCTCTGTTGGGCCTTTGGAAAAATATTCTTTAAAAAATCCACGCCTCTGTTGGGCCTTTGGAAAAATATTCTTTAAAAAATCCACGCCTCTGTTGGGCCTTTGGAAAAATATTCTTTAAAAAATCCACGCCTCTGTTGGGCCTTTGGAAAAATATTCTTTAAAAAATCCACGCCTCCGAAAAAATATTCTTTGAAAAAAAACCTCACCTGAGGTAGACCAAAAATATATCATGCCACCATACACCACCCTTTATTAATATTAAACATAATTAAACACTTAATTCTATCGATTAATTGGCTGGCAGCAGATTAGATTATCACACCGAACATAAAATTATAGATCCAAATGAGTTCCATATTAACGGCTGCTTAGCAGATGGCGTTTGTCAGTTAATTATTGGAGTTCTCTTAAAATGGTCGCAATGAAAATATCCCCATTTGTCGCCGTTGTTGTTGTTATTGTAACAATCGTGACAATTGGCCTAGTTAATGGTCAGAAGGAAAATCGTATTGTGGCGGGTAGTATAGCCAACGAGAGGCAATTTCCCTATGTTGTTTCTCTAAGACGTAATGATATGCATACATGTGGAGGTGTCATCATTTCGAGGAATTACATCTTGACAGCCGGACGATGTGTGGTGCAGAAGTTTGGCAGCAATGGCGTTGAAAGGTAAGTAGTGAGGGCAGGGATGGGAGGAGGAGTTATAAGGAAATTTTGTAGAAGATATTATCTTGTCTTATCGAATTTATTTTCGAGGTCCAAGTACTTCTATTCCATTTCAATAGGAATTAAAATCGGAAACATGAAATTTCGACTTTAGTTTTTTTAATCTCGAACTCCCAGCTCTGGCAAAGTGTAACATTTTTTTCTTAAATCGAAATAATATTAATTTCTGCATATTTTGTTTGTGTTGCAGCTATCCACCCTCCGAATTTAATATACGTGCCGGTTCCCTTACCCTTTACGAAGAAGGTATCCTCGAGGGTGTAGCCGAAATCAAGGTCCACACAAATTACACCAACATGCTGAGCGATTTGGCCCTGTTGAAACTGAAACAACCTTTAATATTTTCCGATTACATACAACCAATCAACCTACCCTCTATGGCAATCTCCGCACCTACCTCCCACGTCTCTGTTCCCGGTTGGGGTCTACAAAAGACATCCGGTGATAATTCACGTCAATTAAAATATCTTTCAATGGAAGTGGTGGCCTCCGCGAAATGTTTGACATATCTATATGGGGAGGATGCCGATAAGAAAATCATTTGTTTGGAATATAATGGCGGTGGTATTTGTTCGGGAGATATTGGTGGTCCAGCTGTTTATGGGGAGGATTTGGTTGGTCTGGCCTCTTTTACCATTGAACGTTGTGGCAGTGAATATCCCGATGGTTTTACAAATATTGGCTACTATACGCAATGGATAAGGGAGAATTCGGATTTGAAGTAATTCGATTTGTAAGAAGTTCGACGTAGTGGAGGAGGCGGATACATTTTTTCCAATCAGTAAACATCATTAGTGACGCACCATCCATGCTTATCATTCGACATTTGTTTAGCTAGTAATAGTATAGTATACTTAAGGTAAACAATAATAAACTAATATTACGCTGAACGACATAGGGGTACCCTACCCTACATTTTGGGATATTTTTCGAAAGGCTCAATAGGCGATGATTTTGTAACGAATATTTTTCCAAAGGCTTCAGAGGCGTGGATTTTTTATAGAATATCTTTCCGAAGGTTTCAGGGGCGTGGATTTTTTAAAAAATATCGTTCCAAAGGCTTCTTCATAGAAGGCCAGAAGTCTTCTTCATAGAAGGCCAGAAGGTCTTCTTCATAGAAGGCCTGAAATCTTCTTCAAAGAAGGTCTTCTTTATAAAAGGCCCGAAGTCTTCTTCATAAACGAAAACCAGGTCTTCTTCATAGAAGGTCAAAAGGTATACTTTATAAAATACCCATAAGCTGCTCTTCATAGAAGTGTTCTTCAAAAAAGGACAGAAGGTCCGCTTCGTGGAAGGTCAAAAGGTTTTCTTCACAGAAGACCAGATGGTCTATTTCAAAGAAGGACAGAAGGTATGCTTCGTAGTTCAAATAGTCAGTAATTGACGCTGTGTGTGTAGCGTAGACACAAACCGAATGGTGGCCCAACAGAGGCCTGGATTTTTTAGACTTTTTTCCAAAGGCCCAAAAGAGGCGGGGATTTTTTAAGAATATTTTTCCAAAGGCCAGAAGGTATTCTCCTTAAGGTCAGGTGGTCTTCTTTATAGAAGTCCAGAAGGTCTTTTTTATAGAAGGCCAGAAGGTCTTCTTCATAGAAGGCTACAAGGTCTTCGTCATACAAGGCTAGAAGGTCTTCTTCATAGAAGTCTAGAAGGTCTTCTTCATAGAAGGCTAGAAGGTCTTCTTCATAGAAGGGCAGAAGCTCTTCTTCATAGAAGGCCAGAAGGTCTTCTTCATAGAAGGCCAGAAGGTCTTCTTCATAGAAGGCCAGAAGGTCTTCTTCATAGAAGGCTAGAAGGTCTTCTTCATAGAAGGCCAAAAGGCCTTCTTCATAGGAAGGCTAGAAGGTCTTCTTCTTCATAGAAAGCCAGAAGGTCTTCTTCATAGAAGGCCAGAAGGTCTTCTTCATAGAAGGCCAGAAGGTCTTCTTCATAGAAGGCCAGAAGGTCTTCTTCATAGAAGGCCAGAAGGTCTTCATCATAGAAGGCCTGAAGGTCTTCATTATAGAAGGCCAAAAGGTCTTCATCATAGAAGGCCAAAAGGTCTTCATTATAGAAGGCCAGAAGGTCTGCTTTATGAAAGGCCAGAAGGCCTTCTTCATAGAAAGCCAGAAGGCCTTCTTCATAGAAAGCCATAAGGTCTTCTTCATAGAAGGTCTTCTTCATAGAAGGCCAGAAGGTCTTCTTCATAGAAGGCCTGAAGGTCTTCATCATAGAAGGCCAAAAGGTCTTCATTATAGAAGGCCAGAAGGTCTGCTTTATGAAAGGCCAGAAGGCCTTCTTCATAGAAAGCCAGAAGGCCTTCTTCATAGAAAGCCAGAAGGTCTTCTTCATAGAAGGCCAGAAGGTCTTCTTCATAGAAGGCCCATAAGCTGTTCTTCTAAAAAAGGATAGAAGGTCCGCTTCGTGGAAGTTCAAACGGTTTTCTTCAGATGGTCTATTTCATAGAAGGAAATAACTTCCGCTTCGTAATATAGATATTCGGAAGTTGACGCTGTGTATGTCGCGTAGACACAAACCGAAAGGTGGGAGCACCCTGTGATCGATACTAAAGGCACAAACCGTGAAAGTGTGTATTTGTAGTGTAGACACAAACACGAAAAGCGCCACCTAACTCTAATTTGAAATACTATTTAATATGATACGATTTTAATCGAATGGCCATAAATCACCTACTATAGCCAAAGGCCGCTTTTACAGAAATTACTAAAATCGTATACAAAACCATTTTATATAAGACTTCTTTAAAAAACTCCAAAAGATCTTCATATTAAAAAGCTAAGGGTTACCCTTTGTAGACGTTCAAAATGCTTTTTTATGGAGAACCTATAAACGTTGTTTACAGAAAATTACAGTCTTTATAAGAGATACGGGGCAAATTTATATGTAACTATCAGAATTTGTATATAGGAGGCATAGAGGACTGCTGTTATAATATTTTAATAGGAGACTAAAAATAAATTCTTTATAATATGTCAAGATGTAAATTTTGTAGTAGGAAGGTAACAGGTCTTATTTAAAGACAACCATGAATTCCTCATAGGAAACAAAGAGGGCGCACTTCTAGGTATCTACCAGAAATTTTATATGGGATACATATAGGACCTTATATTAAAATAGATACAGAAGTGTCTCTGAATAGAATACCAAGAGGACTTCATTAAAGAAAGTCTAGCGAAGATCAGATTTATCTTGTATTTGTGTCAACAATTCTAGAAGAAATATAGGACTTCTTTTAAAGAAGGTTAATACATATCCTATATTATTTTTTTCGTAGAAGTTATTTTATTTGCAAAACCTTTAGAATGTGGATCTTTTTAATAGCTTTCAGATTTTCTTCATTACATGTTTTTATTGTTGCAGAATTTCGTAGCGCTCTAATTACAAGTAACCTTGTTTTTCGAAGAATTGTATATTGTATAACAAAATCGACGTTTATTTACAATATAAATAAGCTGGAGCTCATATAGTGTTCATGATTACGAAAATGTCTATCTTAATCGCTTTTCAAAAAATATTTCTACTCGGCCTGCTAGTTGGCGTCGGTAGTGCAAAAGCCTACGTCAGGCCCACACCATTTTTTCCACAATCACGTATAGTAGGTGGAGCCACTGCCAGTGAAGGACAATTTCCCCATCAGGTATCGCTGCGTTGGGGTGGAACTCATGTTTGTGGTGGTAGCATTATCTCGCCCACATACATTGTGACTGCGGCACATTGTGTGACTCGAGGATCACCACCAGAAGCGTAAGCAGGACATATTTTTAGGAGATTAATAAAATAAAAATAAATTCCTCTTTTCAATAGTTTCCCCGCCGACCACATAAGCATACGTGCCGGCAGCCGTGACAAGACCCATGGAGGTCAAGTCATACAGGCATCGCAACTGAAAATTCATCCCGATTATAAGCGCTACGATAACGATATAGCCTTGGTTAAACTATCCAAACCATTGGAATTTAATGACAAAGTTAAAGCCATCGAATTGGCAACTCATGAACCGGCCACTGGAATTCCGGTTATAACCTCCGGTTGGGGTTTTACACGCACCGGCGGCGGTTCTACACCGAAATATTTACAATATATTACGTTAATGGCCCGCCGTAATAAGGATTGTGGACCAAGAACTCCTGAGTCGGTATTATGTTTAGCCCATGGCTCGGGTAATGGTGTATGTAGTGGTGATTCGGGTGGCCCAGCTGTGTACCGCAACCAATTGATTGGCGTTACCAACTATGTGGTGGATAAATGTGGTACCACAAACTCGGATGGATTTGCCAGTGTCGCATATCATCATAATTGGTTGATAAGTAATTCGAGGGACTGAGAGGTGTATTTGGGAGGAGGATTAGATGTTCGAGTTATGGTACACCAATAAACTGATTATTCAAAATAGTGGTTTTTGTTTTCTAGAGGAGGTCGGGTATTTTATACAAGGGAATTTCAGGTCGGCTATAAAGGAAAATAACATCAGGACCGACCATCTAGATATTCTGATATTTTATCGAAGAAGCAGACCTTCAGATCATTCGTAAACACGTTCATATGGCCTTCGATAAAGACGACTTTCAGTTATTCTATCTAAAAGGCCATCTGGCCTTCTATCTAAAAGACCATCTGGCCTTCTACCTAAAAGACCATCTGGCCTTCATCTTCTGCAAACATTAATCTACTAACACTTCCACATAACTTTCCATACTTCTGATCTGTGGAAGAACCCGACCATCTAGATATTCTGATATTTTATCGAAGAAGCAGACCTTTAGATCATTCGTAAACACGTTCACCTGGCCTTCGATAAAGAAGACTTTCAGCTCTTCTATCTAAAAGACCTTCAGCACCTTGATGAAGAAGACCTTCAGCTCTTCTATGAAAGAAGACCTTCAGCTCTTCTATGAAAGAAGACCTTCAGCTCTTCTATGAAAGAAGACCTTCAGCTCTTCTATGAAAGAAGACCTTCAGCTCTTCGATGAAGGAGTTCATCGAAGAAGAAGACCTTCAGCTCCTTGATGAAGAAGACCTTCAGATCTTCGATGATGAAGACCTTCAGCTCTTCTATGAAAGAATATCTTCAGTTCTTCGATGAAGAAGACCTTCAGCTCTTCGATGAAGAAGAACTTCAGCTCTTCTATGAAAGAACACCTTCAGTTCTTCTATAAGAGAAGACCTTCAGCTCTTCTATGAAAGAAGACCTGCAGCTCTTCTATGAAAAAGACCTGCAGATCTTCGATGAAGAAGACCTTCAGACCTTCGATGAAGAAGACCTTCAACTCTTCTATGAAGAAGATCTTCAACTCTTCTATGAAGAATACTATCAGCTCTTCTATGAGGAGTACCTTCCGCTCTTCTATGAAGAATACCTTCAGCTCTTCTATTCTTCTTCACAGCTCTTCGATGAAGAAGACCTCTTTCCGGCCCTTCAATAAAGAAGACTTCCTGGTTTCAGGTCTTCACTGATGAATACCTCTAGGTTTATTTTAAAATACTATAAATCTGTTAACATCAGAATTGGTCCTTTATTTAGCATATTCATAATGTTTGCTATTCAAATGTCATACATCGGTATTCTCCCTCAACCATTCCGCATGATAAGCCACACTGGTATAAGTATCCGGATTAGCCGTTCCACACCTCCTCACAACAGTATTGGCCAGTCCAACCAATTGGCCATTATAAACAGCTGGACCACCAGAATCACCGCGGCAAGCTCCACTACCAATGTCGTGCTCAAGACAAATTATTGAATCCGCAATTCCCACTAAACGCTGACGACAATCACTGCTAGTCAATGCGCTTAAGGTTATGTGCTGCAATCTGTTAACAACGGTACCATTATTGCTGGTACGACCCCATCCTGAAATTATGACAGGTGCTCCCGAAGGTGGATCACTAGAGGCTAATGGTATGGCCTTTACATCTTCATTGAACTCCAAAGGTTTGGATAGCTTTACCACACCAATGTCGTTGCTGAATGGATTGTAATCGGGGTGGATGTAAGTCCATTCGGCTTGTCGTACCTGGCCACCTTGGTTGGCTAAACGGCTGCCAGCACGTATGGTTATGTACGAGGGAGGGAGGCTTCAAAGGAAATCGAAAAATAAGACTATTTAAATTTTTCATACAATTTAATTCCGACTTACGTCATATATCCCCGGGCCAGACAATGGGCGGCCGTCACAATATAATTTGGGGAAATTATGCTACCACCACAAACATGTGATCCACCCCAGCGCAACGAGACCTGATAGGGAAATTGCCGTTCATTGGCATTAGAACCACCAAGTATGCGCGGTTGGGGACGTTGAGCCTCAGAGTAGGTCAACAGAACAGTTCCGAGGATTAAATTCAAAACTAAGCCCTTAAGCATTGCTTGCAGTTAAAAGAAATCACTAACAGAATCTCACCCTGACGAGTACTTTATATAGGGAGGGTCTGCACACTTAAAACCTAGACATTATTGAAAATTAATTACAGACAGCTGCTGCAGGGCAGACGCCATAAAAATACTTATCACAAAGTATGTTTCAAAAGTGTCTGAACGAGTCACTACAGGTTGGGGTGGCGGAGATGTAAGCGAATCAATGGTAGGTTGAATGGTTCGAATATGAATGAGGGAGGAGGTTATGCTTCCAAAAATATTAAAGTATCTGAAAATGAAGAAGACTTTCAGCTCTTCAATGAAGAAGACCTCCAGCTCTACTACGAAGAAGACCTCCAGACCTTCTGGCTCTCTATGAAGAAGACCTTCTATGAAGACGACCTTCTGGCCTTCTAAGAAGAAGATCTTCTGGCCTTCTAAGAAGAAGATCTTCTGGCCTTCTATGAAGAAGACCTTCTGGCCTTCTAAGAAGAAGACCTTCTGGCCTTCTATGAAGAAGACCTTCTGGCCTTCTATGAAGAAGACCTTCTGGCCTTCTATGAAGAAGACCTTCTGGCCTTCTATGAAGAAGACCTTCTGGCCTTCTATGAAGAAGACCTTCTGGCCTTCTAAGAAGAAGACCTTCCGGCCTTCTATGAAGAAGACCTTCTGGCTCTCTTCTGGCCTTCTATGAAGAAGACCTATTCTGGCCTTCTATGAAGCCTTCTATGAAGAAAGACCTTCTGGCCTTCTGAAGAAGACCTTCTGGCTCTCTACCTTCTGGCCTTCTATGAAGAAGACCTTCTCGACCTCTATGAAGAATACCTTCTCGTCTTCTTTGAAGAAGATCTTCTGGCCTTCTATGAAGAAGACCTTCTGGCCTTCTATGAAGAAGACCTTCTGGCCTTCTATGAAGAAGACCTTCTGGCCTTCTATGAAGAAGACCTTCTGGCCTTCTATGAAGAAGACCTTCTGGCCTTATATGAAGAAGACCTTCTGGCCTTCTATGAAGAAGACCTTCTGGCCTTCTATGAAGAAGACCTTCTGGCCTTCTATGAAGAAGACCTTCTGGCCTTCTATGAAGAAGACCTTCTGGCCTTCTATGAAGAAGACCTTCTGGCCTTCTATGAAGAAGACCTTCTGGCCTTCTATGAAGAAGACCTTCTGGCCTTCTATGAAGAAGACCTTCTGGCCTTCTATGAAGAAGACCTTCTGGCCTTCTATGAAGAAGACCTTCTGGCCTTCTATGAAGAAGACCTTCTGGCCTTCTAAGAAGAAGACCTTCTGGCCTTCTAAGAAGAAGACCTTCTGGCCTTCTATGAAGAAGACCTTCTGGCCTTCTAAGAAGAAGACCTTCTGGCCTTCTATGAAGAAGACCTTCTGGCCTTCTATGAAGAAGACCTTCTGGCCTTCTATGAAGAAGACCTTCTGGCCTTCTATGAAGAAGACCTTCTGGCCTTCTACGAACAAGACCTGCAGCTCTTCAATGAAGAAGACCTCCAGCTCATTAATGAAGAAGGCCTCCAGCTGTTCAATGAAGAGGACCTCCAGCTGTTCAATGAAGAGGACTTCCAGTTCTTCTATGAAAAAGACCTTCAGCTTTTCTCTGAAGAACACCTCGAGCATTCTTCTTAAAAAAAATACCCCTTTTATATTTTTACCTATACACCCTATTACCCTCCTCATAACGCATGTCGAATAGTCCGAATAATTATATTGACACAAATCTTGATATTTTGAGTGGTTCGACACTTATTTTGATATTTATAGACATGGAAGAGATATACTTTTGCAGTAGTTCACATATAACCGTGGAGAATGTACGTCAGATTATTTCCGATTTTAATTGGCCTCGTAACTTTGCTGCATTACTACTCGGAGGCAACAAATGTTCAACCATTCCATCCTGAAGGCCGTATTGTTGGTGGAGCCGTAGCCCGAGATGGCCAATTTCCCTATCAGGTTTCCGTAAGATGGGGTGGTGCCCATGTTTGTGGTGGCAGCATAATATCGGAGACTTTTGTGGTGACAGCGGCTCATTGTCTGACCATGGGAACACCAGAACAAAAGTATGTTCGGAATGAAAGGTAAATTAAAATTTCTTATTTAATTACTTATTTTTCTCCCCTTCAGACTTCCCGCCTCCTTGGTAAGTGTTCGTGCCGGTAGCCGTTTCATATTTTATGGTGGCCAAGTGAGACAAGCCGCCGAAACCTATGTCCATGCGGATTATAAAGATTTTGATAATGATATAGGATTGATACAGCTCTCCGAACCTTTGTTGTTTAATACGAGAGTAAATGCCGTACCCTTGGCTACACATGAACCACCCAGCGGAGTACCAGTTGTTACTTCCGGATGGGGTCGTACCAGCAGTAATGGAACTGTGGTCAATGCCTTACGTTATAATACCCTCATGGCCTTGACTAGTTTGGATTGTAGTCGCCGTTTACCAGCCATTCCAGAATCGGTTATTTGTCTGGCTCATAGCCAGGGGAATGGTGTATGTGATGGTGATTCTGGCGGCCCTGCGGTATATAATGGGGAATTGGTAGGGGTTACAAATTATATGGTACGAAGTTGTGGTACCACAAATCCGGATGCCTATGCCAGTGTGGCGTTCTTTCGCAATTGGTTGCAGGAGAGAATAAGGGGTGGAAACTTAGTGAAGACCATCTCAGATCTATATAACAAAATGGCGGAGTTTTGAAAACTTCGTGGACATGACATTTTAATAAAAATAAAATATTCTGAACCCTGATATTCCATAGATAATGTCTTTATACTCACATTGTAATCTGAGTGGTAATAGGTCAGGTAAGGTATATCAACTCACCTAAGTTTTCTGAAACGAAAAGAAAAATATATAAATTAGTGTGGATTTTTTTAGATTTTTTTCAAGGCCCATTCAAGGCGGGGATTTTTTTTAATTATATTTTCAAGGCCCAAGCAAGGCGTGGATTTTTTAAAATTCAATTTCCTTGGTTGGGCCCAAGGCGTGGATTTTTGTGTTTTTAAATTTTCAAAACCCTAAAAACGGCGTGGATTTTTTAAATTATTTTTTTTTTTCTATGAAGAAGACCTCCAGCTCTTCTATGAAGAAGACCTCCAGCTCTTCTATGAAGAAGACCTCCAGCTCTTCTATGAAGAAGACCTCCAGCTCTTCTATGAAGAAGACCTCCAGCTCTTCTATGAAGAAGACCTCCAGCTCTTCTATGAAGAAGACCTCCAGCTCATCGTTGAAGAAAAATCTAAAATTTAAAAAATCAAGGCCTAGATTTTTCAAAGGGTAAATCTAGGCCTTGATTTTTTAAAATGCATTTTTAATTTCCCAATATACCCGGAAATCGATGCGGCCCTCTCGACATTTATCAATAATTGCTACTTTGTATTCATTTTTTCGCAAGTTAATGACTTTGTAAATTTAAGCAAAAAAAAAATCTTATGTAATTACCGATAAGGGCAAGAAGTTAGCTCATCAAGAACGACGAAATTTTAGCTATAAAACCCCTGACAACCTTCACAAAAATTGCCATCATCTTTTGTTTTGGTGATCAATAACACCATCAGGAAGTAAAGGAAAACAACAATGTTTATCGCTTATTTGATTAAACGACAAGTGTTGCTCCTGCTGCCACTGCTGTTGCTCGCGGAAGCAGTCAGGGGTGCTTCCAAGAAACCACAGGTGTACTATCCACAATCTCGTATTGTGGGTGGTGCCACCGCCAGTGAGGGTCAATTTCCCCACCAGGTCTCATTGAAATTTCTCAACCAACACAATTGTGGTGGTTCCATACTGACATCGACATATATTGTAACTGCAGCCCATTGTGTTATGATCGGAAAACCGCCAGTGATGTAAGGGGTTCCGAAGAGAAAAATTACAAAATCAGAAATAATTATTTTTCGTTTCAGAATTCCACTACAATTTTTGTCCGTGCGTGCCGGAAGCCGTGACACTGATCAGGGTGGCCAGTTGGTACGTGTATCGGAGGTAACAGTACATCCCCAATATGATGGTACGGATTTTGATATTGCCGTGGTGAAGCTAGCCCAACCGCTAAGACTAAACAGCAAAGTAAAGGCCATAGCCTTGGCTAAACGTGATCCTCCAACGGGAGTACCCATCCTGACATCCGGTTGGGGTATGACAAAGAATGGTGGCAACACTACGAAATATTTGCAGTACAACACCTTGATGGCGGTGAAAAGTGAAGATTGTGGTCGGTATATGTATGGGGTGCACGAGTCCATTTTGTGTCTGGCCCATACCAATAATAATGGTGTGTGCAAGGGTGATTCTGGTGGACCGGCGGTATATAAAAATGAATTGGTCGGAGTTACCAACTACATTGTGGGTGGTTGTGGTTCTTATAATCCCGATGGATTTGCCAGTGTGGCATATTTTAGGGATTGGTTGAGGCATAATACCAATTTACCTTAAACTAAGAAAGTGATACAAAATTGATACAATCGATATAACAGAGAGTATTTAAGAATAAAGAAGAAAAATCAGAAATAACAATTTTTAAAATATTTTTCAATCTTTCAAAGGCACAGATGGACGGGGATTTTTCTAATTATTTTTTTAAAGGCCACAGATTGGCCTGGATTTTTTTCAAAGGCCAAATAAGGCTTAGAGTTTTTTAAAATTAATTTGAAGAGGTCAAACCGAGGTGTCGATTTTTAAATTAATTTTTTAAGGTCACATATAGGGTTTAGGATTTTCAAATTAATTTTTTAGGCGTGGATTTTTTAAAGGCCAAACCTAGGCGTGGATTTTTTAAGGGCCAAACCTAGGCGTGGATTTTTTAAAGGCCAAACCTAGGCGTGGATTTTTTAAAGGCCAAACCTAGGCGTGGAGTTTTTATAGGGCCAAACCTAGGCGTGGATTTTTTAAGGCCAAACCTCGGCGTGAATTTTTTAAAGGCCAAACCTGGGCGTGGATTTTTTAAGGCCAAACCTGGGCGTGGATTTTTTAAAGGCCAAACCTGGGCGTGGATTTTTTAAAGGCCAAACCTGGGCGTGGATTTTTTAAAGGCCAAACCTGGGCGTGGATTTTTTAAAGGCCAAACCTGGGCGTGGATTTTTTAAAGGTCAAACCTGGGCGTGGCCAAGCTAGACCTAGGCGTAGCTTTTTTTAAATCGATTTTCAAAGGGTAGACCTAGGCGTAGCTTTTTGTAAATCGATTTTCAAAGGGTAGATCTAGGCGTAAATTTTTTAATCGATTATTCAAAGGGTCGGCATAGACTTAAATTTTTTTAAATCGATTTTTCAAATGGTAGACCTTGGCGAAATTTTTTTTATTCGATTTTTCAAAGGGTAGACCTAGGAGTTGATTTTTCCAAATCGATTTTTCAAAGGGTCGGCCTAGGCTCAGATTTTTTTAAATCTATTTTACAAAGGGTAGACCTAAGCGTAGCTTTTTTAAATCGATTTTCAAATGGTAGACATAGGCGTAATTTTTTTTATTCGATTTTTCAAAGGGTAGACCTAGGGTTGTTTTTTTAAGTCGATTTTTCAAAAGGTAGGCCTAGGCGTGGATTTTTTAAATCTATTTTTGAAAGGGACGGCCTAGGCGTAGATTTTTTTAAACCGATTTATCAAAGTGTAGAGCTAGGGGTAGCTTTTTTTAAATAGATTTTCAAAGGGTAGACCTAGGCGTAATTTTTTTTTTAAATCGATTTTTCAAAGGGTAGACCTAGGCGTAATTTTTTTTTTTAAATCGATTTTTCAAAGGGTCGGCCTAGGCGTAGATTTTTTTAAATCGATTTTTCAAAGGGTAGACCTAGGCGTAGATTTTTTTAAATCGATTTTTCAAAGGGTAGTCCTAGGCGTATATTTTAATTAATCTAATTTTCAAAGGGGAGACGTTGGCGTAGATTTTTTAAGCCGATTTATCAAAGGATATACCTAGGCGTAGATTTTTTAAACCGATATTTTCAAAGGTAGGGTTCCCCCCAATACCATCCCCATCAATTATAACAATCTTGTGTTTTTACGCAATTGAAATACCGATAAGAATTTATTTAACAACAAATTAAGATAATTTCTTTGTGATTGAGTGTTAGACCAGACGCTCTTAATTATTACAGCACTGTCTGGCTCGAAACTCATTAATTATATTGGGACACCAATATAAAAAGACCCCTAGAATGGCATTGAAATTCAGTTTATTCTCATCTCCCAGAAAAACGCATAGCAATGTTTTCCGGAAAACCTTTAGCCACTCCCTTCTTATGCTTCTTTTGTGGATAGGCCACAGCGTCGTGAGCGGTGACGTGTTCTATCCTCAACCAAGAATTGTGCGTGGAAATATGGCTTTGGAGAGACAATTTCCCCATCAGGTGGCTGTTCGATCAACAAGCGGCTCTTTGTGTGGAGGTTCAATAATATCCGAAAATTATATTTTGACAGCGGCCCACTGTGTGACCTCGGGATTGCCACCGGTTAAGTAAGAATGTCATATTAGCCTCGGAGACATAAAGTGTACTGAGTTCCATAATTTTCTTCTATTTAACAGAAAATCAATTGCTAGTGTCATTGTAAAGGCCGGCAGCACCCACCTCGCTCGTGGTGGTCAAATGTTGCGCATTTCCCAGATTATAGTCCATCCGGACTATGATGATTCGGAAAATGATATTGCGCTGGTGAAATTGGAAAAACCCTTAAAGTTCGGGGAAACCATTAAACCAATATCCTTGGCATCACAAGATCCACCAGAAGGTGCTTCAGTGGTGATAGCCGGTTGGGGAAATGTACGTGAAGGAGGTTTGAAATCAAAGAATTTGTTATACACCACCCTGACCGCCATCAGTCATGAGAAATGCAATGCGTTGTTAGGTTATTCTCCGAAATCTCGAATTTGTTTGGCCCCCCGTGGTGGCAATGGAGCTTGTGAAGGTGATTCAGGTGGTCCGGCGGTATATAATGGTGAATTGGTAGGTGTTACCAATGTTATCTATGGTGACTGTGGTTCTGAATATCCCGATGGTTATGCTAGCGTGGCATATTATAGAGATTGGATTATATTGAATTCTGATTTGTAAATTAAATTGAGGAGAAATAAATAATCCGGACATAGGACTTACCTTTGAAAAATTAATCAAAAAAAGTTTATAAAAAAAATCCAGGCCTAGATCTTAAATTTGAAAAATTAATTTAAAAAATCTAATTTGAAAAAAATCCACACCTAGGTTTAGCCTTTGAAAATCTAATTTGAAAAAAATCCACACCTAGATTTACCCTTTGAAAATCTAATTTTTGGGTTTACATTTTGAAAATCCAATTTGAAAAAATCCACGCCTTGGTTTATCCTTTGAAAATCTAATTTGAAAAAATCCATGCCTATGTTTACCCTTTGAAAATCTAATTTGAAAAAATCCATGCCTAGGTTTACCCTTATAAAAATCTAATTTGAAAAAATCCACGCCTAAGTTTTTTGAAAATCTAATTTGAAAAAATCCACGCCTAGGTTTTGAAAATCTAATTTGAAAAAATCCACGCCTAGGTTTACCCTTTGAAAATCTAATTTGAAAAAATCCACGCCTAGGTTTACCCTTTGAAAATCTAATTTGAAAAAATCCCCGCCTAGTTTTACCCTTTGAAAATCTAATTTGAAAAATCCACGCCTAGGTTTACCCTTTGAAAATCCAATTTGAAAAAATCCACGCCTTGGTTTACCCTTTGAAAATCGAATTTGAAAAAACACACGCCTAGGTTTACCCTTTGAAAATCTAATTTGAAACAATCCACGCCTAGGTTTTGAAAATCTAATTTGAAAAAATCCACGCCTAGGCTTTGAAAATCTAATTTGAAAAAATCCACGCCTAGGCTTTGAAAATCTAATGTGAAAAAATCCACGCCTAGGCTTTGAAAATCTAATTTTAAAAAATCCACGCCTAGGCTTTGAAAATCAAATTTGAAAAAATCCACGCCTAGGCTTTGAAAATCTAATTTTAAAAAATCCACGCCTAGGCTTTGAAAATCTAATTTGAAAAAAATCCACGCCTAGGCTTTGAAAATCTAATTTGAAAAAAATCGATCCTTGGCCTTGGAAAAAATATTGAATACCTAATGTATTGAAATGAAAATGATTTCACCATTGAACAGCCAAAACAAAAAGTACAGATTTTCCATTTTTCTAACTCGTCTTATCTTCTGAACGTGGCGGTGACCCCACCCTTGTAAAGACGAACGACACTAATTACCGGCCGGATGATTTCATATTTCCAATGTCTTTAAGAAAATAGCGAAACACAACAACAACAACAATAATTGTTGACAAATATCCGATAAACATTTCAAAATCCAATAACATTCCCATGGAAATGGTTGGTGGGAGTATATAAAGCTCTGAATCGGTGTGGGGCTCATTAATATTGTTCGGAATAAAATTCGAAAATGAGTAGCGGAAAATTAGTATCGAATTTCTTTTTAACTCTAATGGTGGGTGTGATTTATTTTGTGGCCCCTGGAGTATTTGCCGCAAATAATGTTACAAGTTCGGTAATTCCCGATCCACGTATTGTGGCTGGTTCAACGGCCAAAGATGGTCAATTTCCATATCAGGTGGCCTTGAATATTGGTAAAAGCTTCACCTGTGGTGGTTCGATTATTTCTTCTAATTATGTGGTAACAGCGGCCCATTGTGTTAGCTCTGGTATACGACCTAGACCGTAAGTTTTTCGACGGAATACAAAAAATTTCGAGAATTTTTTTATATATCTTCCTTTTCCTCCGAATTTAGCATTCCCGCATCCCGGTTAAATGTTCGTGTAGGTAGCCGATTTTACAATAGTGGTGGTGAAGTGGTTGGAATCTCCGAGGTCAAGATCCATCCCTCTTATCGCCGTTCGGACAATGACATAGCCCTGCTGAAGCTGTCAAAACCTTTGGAATTTTCGGACAATATAAAAAACATTACCATTGCCCGTAAGGCACCGGCTGATGGCACAGCTGTGGTAACCTCCGGTTGGGGTCTTTTACGTAACTCAGGTTCAACACCCAATGAGCTGCAATACACCACAATGACTGCCCTTTCCCACACAAATTGTAGACGCCGTTTGTGGACAGTGTCCGGCACGGTATTGTGCCTAGCCCCCCGCAATGGTAATGGTGTGTGTGGCGGAGATTCCGGCGGACCGGCTGTGTACAATAATGAACTTGTTGGTGTCACGAACTTTGTCGTGGGTGGTTGTGGTTCACGTTTTCCCGATGGTTATGCCAATGTTGCCTATCATTACAGTTTTATAAAGAACAATTCAGATTTGTAGGCTGTTAACCACTCTGGCAGGTTGGAATAAAATATAAAATTTATTTTATCGGTATTGCTGTGTTTGTTGTTGTTGTTTTTGGTTTTGTTTATGTTTTTGTTCGAAACTACTTTCAATTTTACTCACGTCGGTCAGTGACGTTTCTTCTAATAAGAATATTTATAAGCCGAATTTGGCATTGGGAGAAAGCGTTCTAATTTGCATACATTATTCCGAACAGCTACTGAAGTAAAGACAAAAAAAAATAAAGCGGAGGGACAAACTGATTATACAATATGAGAACTGAATCGGTAAACAAGAATAGAAGGGGAGGTGAGAAGTATTGAAAGCATATAAATTTATCAAAGCCAAATCAAACAAAACTAGGCGTGAATTTTTCAAAATTAATTTTTCAAAGGCAATTAAGGCGTGGATTTTTTAAAAATAAATTTTCAAAGGGTGAACCTACCTAGCTTTTAAAGGCCCAACTAGGCCTAATATTTTTTAAGTTAAATTTTCAAAGGGCGAACCTACCTAGTCTTAATATTTTTATACCCTTCACCACACTGTGGTACAGGGTATTATGCCATTGTGCATATGTTTGTAACAGGCAAACGGAAACGAGATAGACACATGGTTCTTTTTGAGAATATGCATAGAATTACTTACTGAGTCGATTTACGCATGTCCGTCCGTCCGTCCATGTATTTTTGTGAACAAAGTACAGGTCGCATTTATGATCCGATTTGGATGAAATTTGGAATAAGTCACTTATTTGGCCCAAGGACGTACCCTATTGAAATTGGGAAAAATCGGTTCAAATTTAGATATAGCTCCCATATATATTTTCGTCCGATTTAAGGTAAATGGTGCACCAAAGTCCCTATATATCATTCGGTTTGGACGAAATTTGGCATAGGATAATGAATTAAGTCTAGAATGACGTTTGTTAAGTTTCGAGAAAATCGGTTCAGATTTAGATATAGCTCCCATATATAGTTTCGTCCGATTTTTTGTAAATGCTGCACCAAATATATATATGCACCTATATATCTTTCGATTTGCACGATATTTGGCATAGGATACTGAATTAAGTCTAGAATGACGTGTATCGAGTTTCGAGAAAGTCGGGTCAGATTTAGATATAGCTCCCATATATATTTTCGTCCGATTTAATGTAATGCACTAAGGCGTGGATTTTTTAAAATTCAATTTTCAAACGCCCAACCTAGGCATCTAAGGCGTGAATTTTTTGAAAAACATAATATTCAAAGGCCCAACCAAGGCGTGGATTTTTTTAAAAATTTTATTTTCAAAGGCCCAACCAAGGCGTGGATTTTTTTAAAAATTTAATTTTTAAAGGCCCAACCAAGGCGTGGATTTTTTTTAAAAATTTAATTTTCAAAGGCCCAACCAAGGCGTGGATTTTTTTAAAAATTTAATTTTTAAAGGCCCAACCAAGGCGTGGATTTTTTTAAAAATTTAATTTTCAAAGGCCCAACTAAGGCGTGGATTTTTTTTAAAAATTTAATTTTCAATGGCCCAACCAAGGCGTGATTTTTTTTAAATGTTATTTTCAAAGGCCAAACCAAGGCGTGGATTTTTTTAAAAATTTAATTTTCAAAGGCCCAACCAAGGCGTGGATTTTTTTAAAAATTTAATTTTCAAAGGCCCAAACAAGGCGTGAATTTTTTTAAAAAATTAATTTTCTAAAAAAAATTTAAAAATTTTTTTTAATTTTCAACTTTAACTGCTGACCTTGTGCCGCTTAAAGTTATCCTGCATAACCGTATTAATTTTGCAGGAATGCCGAACGAAGACATGACTTTAAACACCTGTGAACGGATAGGACTGTCGAATGTGGCTTTATAGTCGACAAATAGGTGGTATGTGTCGATGTGTTTTTTGTGGGTCTTTTCCAGGATTTGGCGCAGAGTGAAAATCTGGTCAATGGTGGATTTGCCAGGTCTGAAGCCGCATTGGTATGGTCCGATGATGTCATTGACCATTGGCTTCAATCGTTCACACAGCACACTGGATAGCACTTTATATGCGATGGGAAGGAGACTTATTCCTCTATAGTTGGCACATATCGTCTTGTCTCATTTTTTGTGCACGGGACACAGGATGCTGACGTTCCAATCACTGGGCATGCATTCATCTAACCAAATTGTGCTAATCAGCTGGTGCATGCTCCTGACCAGCATCTGGCCACCAGACTTGAATAGTTCGACTGGTAACCCATCGGCTCCTGCTGCTTTGTTGTTCTTGAGCCGATTAATTGCTTTTATGACCTCATCTTGGCTAGGTGGTATACACTCTATACCATCATCTCTTATTGGTTCTGGGGTATCTTCTTGGGCAATTCTTTGCCATTGTGCTTCTATACTATTATCGGGACAAGAAGTGCTTTCTTCAAGCAGATGGGTAAGTTGAGCGAAGTAGGCCTCGGCTACCTGTTGTGTTTGCAGCTTTTCGACGTCGAGTTTCCGTGTTCTATTAGATCGCACCTTTGCTGCAACATTAAGACGGGTGCGTACCTTGGCTGCCACAAGGTAATTGTCCGAATCGATATTCGCTCCTCGGATCGATCGGACGTCTAAAACACTGGATGAATGCTTTCCGTCTATCACAACATGATCAATTTGATTTCTCCTTGTGTGATCAGGAGAAATCCGGGTGGCCTTGTGTATATCGAGATGCTTGAATCTGGTGCTGTTAACTACCATGTTTTTTGCTGCCGCGAAGTCAATCAACCTCATACCGTTGTCGGATGTTTCTTCATGAAGGCTTAATTTTCCGACGGTGGGGCCAAAGATATTTTTCCTTCCGAGTTTTGCATTAAAATCTCCTAGCAGAATTTTAATGTCATGGCCAGGGCAACGGTCATATGCTGTTTCTACGCGCTCGTAAAATATGTCTTTGGTCTGTTCATCTTTATCTTCGGTCAGAGCATGGGCGCAAATTAGACTGATGTAAAAGAACTTCGCTTTTATACGGCTTATAGCAATTCGCTCATCTACTGGAGTGAATCTGGAGACAAGGTCCTTTATTCTCCTGTTAACCATACATTCGCAGCCAAAATCATGTCTCGTTTCATGGCAGCTATAATACAGGGCGTAATCGTCTGATTTACTTACGACTGTCGCCTGTTCTGTACAACGTGCGCACATTCCATCGCATTTCCTGTAAGGCAATAATATCGGCTTTGTACTTCTTGAGTATATCCGCCAAAGCGAATACTGCGCCTGTTC